GCGGTCCAACCCCAGGGCCTTATCTTGTCATGGAGCGGTCAGTCCATGCATATAGTGCCGTGGGGTAGCTCCAAGAAGACTCCAAGAAGGCCTAAGAGGATCCCGAGAGGGCTCCGGGAGGGCCCCAGAGGCCCCAAGACACGCCCTTGGAGGCTTTAGACGCTCCTAGAGTCCCCCCGCGGTAGAGGATTTTAAACGGACGTTTGAGATACTCTACGGCGGGGGCCCCAAGAGGGCGCCAGGAGTGCCCCAGGAGAGCTTCAGGATGGCCATAAGATGGCCCCAAGAGAGCTCTAAGAGGGCCCCAGAGGCCCCAAGAGAGGCCCAAGAGGGCCTCGAATGGCACCCAAAAGCAGTGAAAGTGAAGTCACGCGAACGCCCTTTCGCGTGATTTAACTTTCACTTCCATTGGGGGCCTCCGGGGGTTCTCTTGGACCCCCACAGGCGTTCCTAACGGCCCCAGAAAGGCCAAAAAGAGCCCCGGGAAAATACCAACCGGCCCCCAAGAGGAATGTAATTTATGTCACGCGAAAGGGCGCTCGCGTGTCTTCACTTTCACTGCTTTTGGAGGCCCTTCAGGGCCCTCTTAGAGCCCTCTTGGGCCTTGCTTATTTGGCCTTGTGCGCCGCAATCGTGCGGCAGCTTCCTGGTGATATGCGTCTGCGCTTCGCAATCGCGACGCGATTCCGAGGAAATGCGAAGTTCCACTGCCTGTACGCGAGCATAGCGATCGCGCGAAATAGTTTCATCAAACAGTGCTGGCACTTTTTGCATTGCGTATTTCTGATATGTGGTGTAATACAAGCAAGCCAGATTTCGATACATGCGTAGATAGCGCTTGAAACAACGAACTTCGACTCCGACCGCGCCAACACGCAGGCAGCTGTAGTGAGGCGAGCCCCAGGCGGTACTGAAGAAGGCTTCGAAGGGCCCCCCCTGGGGCCTCGCCGAGGCCCCTCATACAGATCTAGAGAGCCCAAGAGAGCTTCAAGAGAGCCCGAGAGAGCCCAGATACGCCTTCCCACCGTCCCTCGCTTGTCTCCCAGTCTCCTGTCATTCGCTCCCTCCGCTCCTTTTCCGCGCCTTCCTCCCATCCTCTTCACTCTCGTTCATTATGCTCCCGTTTTCTTCCCCTGCGGCGGATGGGGGTGGGAGGAGGGCGGGGGTAACTGCAACGTGTGTCCCCGCCGACGCGGAGCATGTGCAGGTAGTTCCCGTGGTTGGGGCGCTCCTGGCGGGCGATCGCCCTCCTCGTCGTCTTCTGTTTTGCGAGCGTTCTTTGCATATAGCGTGGACACACTAAATAAAACAAACTCCATATATTCAGCCGCTCAGCGAAACCAATTAGGATAAATTGCAGGTCCAGCCACACGCAGGTTCGATTCGATGATTATATGGGTCACAATCCAATATTTGTGTTCGCGGCTGCTGTGTCAAGGTGCGTTAAATTCGTCGTTTCGGGCGTTGACCCCCGGGGGTGTGCAAATCGCCCGTTCCTGCAGGGAGCGCGCCAGAATGTTATCAGACCTCTTCGGGCCCCCCTCGTGGCGGTCAGGGTCGCTCCCCCCCCTCTCTCCGCCAACCCCTGCTGCGCCCGCTTCTCCCGTGATTTTCACTACGACCCTACTCGCGCCATCGCTTGTGATATGGGGTCGCGATGTGTGTTATAGAACACGTTGACTTTCTGAAAAAAGTGAGTTCGAAATCGTGGCAAGTTCTGTTGGGGCGCCGCGGTGGAAACAGTCGTCGTCGCCGTCGTCGTCGTCGTCGTCGTCGTCGTCGTCGTCGTCGTCGTCGTTGTCGTCGTCGCCGCCGCCGTCGTCGTCGTCGTCGCCGCCGTCGTCGTCGTCGTCGGGCGCCCCCAGACCTCTCGGCCCCTTCCCTCATGCCGCTCTTCCCCTCGTCTCCGCGGCCCCGGGGCCGGAAAACGCGGGCCTCCGGGGGCCCGGAAAGGAGGGCGGGGTTCGGCCGCCTGGAGCTGCTTTGCCGCCTGGAGGAGGAGGGAGGAGGAGGAGGAGGAGGAGGAGGAGGAGGAGGAGGAGGAGGAGGGAGGAGGGGGTCCTCGCCTCCCCCCCCCGCGCCCTGCTGCACCCCCGAGGGGGGTGCCGGCACCGGGGGGGTGCCGCACCGGGGGGGGTGCCGGCACCGGGGTGGGGGGTGCCGGCACCGGGGGGGGGTGCGGGCACCGGGGGGGGGGTGGGCACCGGGGGGGGGGCCGGCACCGGGGGGGGGGGGGGGGGGGGCCGGCACCGGGGGGGGGGGTGCCGGCACCGGGGGGGGGGGCCGCACCGGGGGGGGGGGGACCGGGGGGGGGGGGCCGGCACCGGTGGGGAGGGCCCCCGGGGCCCGGTCCCGGTTCGGTTCCACCCGGTTCGGGCTTGCCGTTCGGGCCGGTTTCGACCGGCCGGTTCGGTTCGAACCGCCCGGTCCGGTTTCAGCCGGTCCGGTTCGGGCTCTGGTTCGGGCGGCTCGGTTGCAGGAGCCGCCGGTTCAGTTCGGTTCGGACTCTTCTTGCAATCTACGTTTTGGCCGTACTTTTTCGGGCCCTCTAGACGCTGCTGGGTGAAAGTTCCCGACTACTCCTTCCCGGGGCTGGCCCTCCACCCCGACATCGGCGTTTTCTCTACGGGGCGACTGGCGCTTTCTCTGCGGGGCCCTGTGAGGACCTCCCCGCGCGGGCCCCGCGCGCGGAGCATTAGACAAAGCCTCGCGGCGTGACTTCCTCGCGGCGCGAGGAGGTCTCTTAGCATATCTCGGACGTGTGCTTGGTTCCTCGGCGAGGGCCATCGAGGGGCATCCTGGATCACCTGGCAAAAGAAAGCACTCGCGAAGCCGAACGATGCACGGGGAATGGACGTCCGAGCGATGGCAAGGGTCCAGGCTCAGGGGCAGCGCGAGGGGCCTTCGCCGCCGCCGTCGTCGTCGTCGCCGGGGGCCCGCCGCCGCCGCCATCGTCGTCGCCGCCGCCGCCGTCGCCGCCGCCGCCGCCGTCGTCGTCGTCGTCGTCGTCGTCGTCGTCGTCGTCGTCGTCGTCGTCGTCGTCGTCGTCGTTATCGTCAGCGTCACCGTCGTCGTCGTCGTCGCCGTCGTCGCCGCCGCCGTTGTCGCCCGAGGCGTTCGGGCTCGTTGCCGCCGCCGTCGTCGCCGCCGCCGCCTGTTCTCAGGGGCAACGATAGGCCCAGAGATCCGAGGATGTGATGTTTTCAGTCCGGCGTTTTTTCCTGGATTTCGGCCTCCAGGGCCCGTCATCGAGCCAGGGGGGCATAAATAATGGATTCGGGACGCAAAGCCACCCCCAGGGAAGGGGTCGGGATCTCTTGGGGGGGACGCATCGACCCCCAATCGGTGATTCAGCGCCGCTAGGGCGCTGGTGGCCCTCCAAGCCCAGAAGCGTGCGGATTCGCCATCGGGGGCCTGTTGCCGATCCATCGGCGATGCATCGCCGAGTCGGGCTCGAGGTGTCCCCCCCGAGCCCGTCTCGAACGCTGCTAAAACGGCCCTCCCGGAAGGAAAAGACACCTTCCTGGAACGAGGCGCGGCACGCGAAACAGTCAACGGGCTTCTTCCCGGAAGGACGAAGACAACTTCACGGAGGTCGATTTTAGCATTAAGTCGGGCCTGTCCCCCTACATGGGGGATTTTCGGCGAAATATAAACGATAGTCCAAAAATAGTCTGGGGAGTACTTTTTGAGTATTTTTCTACCTTCTCGGGGTATTTTTGGAGGATTTTTAATTTCTCGCCGAAAACCCCCCTGCAGGGGGACAGGTCCGACTTAACTTTAGCAGCCACGGATCCAGCAGCCCTTGCCCGGCTTCCGAGCCCGCCCCCCGCGAGCTCGGGGGTCCCGGGCCCGTGAGTCGAGGCAGACTCCGCGCGGCGGCCTCGAGAGAGCCCGGGAGGCCTCCGCGCGCGGCCCCTTCCGCCGCACGGCTCTCTGGGGCCTCGGGTGCCCCCGTCCTCGGAGACCGCGCGGTGGCCTCGAGAGCCCGGGAGGCCTCCGCGCGCGGCCCGCCGCCGCGCGGTTGTCTGGGGCCTCGGGTGCCCCCGTCTCGACGAGGCGTAAGAGTGACCCTTCGCCGGAGCGGCCTTTGGTGCGGGCACGGATGGGCCCCCCAGGGGGCTGGAAAGCGAGGCAGGAGCAGCTGCTTGCGCGCCCAGGTTTGGCCCCCCCGCGGCCCCCAAAAAGCCGCGCACCAAAGGTCACTCTTACCCAGGGTCACTCTTGCGTGTGCCCCCGTCGCCCGCAGACGTCCTCGGAGACTGGCCCGAGCCCCAGCACCGTGCGGTGCTCTCGGATCCCCACGGGCGCTCTGGTTGCCACGTTCCTGCTTCGCAGACCTGGCCCTTTCCTCCTCTCCGTTCCTCCTGCTCCCTTCCCTGCCTGCTGTCCCCGCCTGGCCCCTCTGCCTGCCCGCCCGCCCCGCCGGCCCTGGCCTCCCGCCTGGGCGCCCGTCGTCGCCTGCCTGGCTCATGATGAACATGTGCCCAGAGGCTTCTGGAGGCTGCCGGTGTCAGGCGTGGTGGGGGGCGTGATGGCATGGTGGGGGGTCCCGGGCGGGTTTCGCAGGGTGGGTGGCCGCGGTGGGTGGATGGTTGGGTGCCCCGGACGATTTTGCAGGGTGGCCCGAGCCCCAGCACCGTGCGGTGACTTCGAACCCCCATTGGCGCTCTGGTTGCCACAGGCCTGCTGCGCAGACCTGGCGTGCCTCCCGCAGGCGCGCCAGTGCTGAAAGACTGGCTTATTCTCGGGGCCTACGAGACCGGGGTCACTGCAAACGGGGGTCAGCCTGGGCGCCCGATCTTGCAGGATCCTGCAGGGCCAGGGGTGCATTGACCTGGGTTTGGGTGCAGGATCCTGCAGAATCTTGCGGGATCCTGCAGGGCCTGGCTGACCCGGGTCTGGACTGACCCGGGTCAGCAGGTCCCCGATATTCCAAAAAACAGTCTTTGAATTCAGAAACTGATTCTTGGGACTCAAAACCCAGCTCCCCCTCCGAGGCGCACCTCTCCGCCACGCTGCACCCCAACGGCACCAACTGGCGCGAGCCCTCGGCGCCGCGCGGGCGGGCGGCCGAGGAGCGCCGCCCCAAGTCGCGCTCGCGCTCGCGGCAGCCGCTGTCGCCCTGTCCACGGCCTTGCGGTCCGGGCCTCTCTCGGTGGCTCCAAGACGGGATTCTGAGGGACGGCCACGCGCAGAGGGGGGGTGGGGGGGAGGGGGGAAGGCTTCTCAGAAGCGGCCTTGCTTCCCTCAGGCGATCGCAACATGAATCAAGGGGGCGTGGATTAGCCCGACGGGTCCCGTTTCTGTGGGAAATCGCAGGTTTCCACCGCCGAGCGAGGCGGCACCCGCCGCATTTCGGGGAGGGCACCTCCCCGATCCATGTTTGCGCGCCCCCGATTCTTAGAAGGCGCGGGCCTTGTCTGTAGACGTGGGGCCGGCGCCGTCTAAGAAGCAGCCTCCTACGAAGCCTTCCCCCCTCCCGCTACCCCCTCTTGCGCGCCGCCAGGATACACAGGGATCCGAGGGTGGGTTACATTTTTCGAGGGTTACATTTTTCGAGGCACCTCGTCTTTGGGACCCCATCCCTCAGGATCCCATCTCTGAACCACCGTTCTCGGCTCTGACCCCGTGGCCCTGATGAGATCTTGGCGTTACCATTTTTTCACTCTGGGTTTTGTCGCCCAGTCGTTCGGGCCCCGGGCACCGTCAGGGGTGGATAACAACAAAATGGAGGCGAGGACTGTCAGGCAGGGTCCGTTCTCAGGAATTGGCCATGGGGGCGGTCTGTCAGGGTGTGTGCGTCCTTTTTCGAATTCTTCTTATTGTTATTACCACGCTTGTTCTTATTCCCCAGACAGTGCCTGCGTGGAGTGGAAGGGTCCGTCTAGGTTCCGCCGCGTCGCCGCCCCTTGCCGCCTCGTTGCCGCCCACGTGGATGGGTCCGTCGGGGTTTTAGCGCGTCGCCGCCAGTTGCTGCTTCGTTGCAGCCTCGTTGCCACTTTGGGGGGGGGGCTGTCGAGGTTTCGCCGCGTCGCCGCCCGTTGCCGCCTCGTGGCCGCCGACTTGTGGGGGTCCGTCGAGGCTTCACCACGGTCCCGCCCGTTGCGGCCTCATTGCCGCCCTCTTGGGGGGTCCGTCGAGGTTTCGCCCTGTTGCCGCCGCGTTGCTGCCTCGTTGCCACCCTCTCACGGGTCCGTGGAGGCTTCGCCGCGTCGTCTCCCGTTGCTGGGTCGTGGCCGCCCGCTCGGGGGGTCCGTCGAGGCTTCGTTGAGGGGTCCGTCGACGAGGTTTCGCCGCGTCGCCGCCCGTTGCCGCCTCGTTGCTGCCCAATTGGGGAGTCCGTCGAGGCTTCGCCGCGTCGCCGCCCGTGAAGTGGCCCTGTTTCCGCCCTCTCGGGGGTCCGTGGAGGTTTCTTCGCGCCGCCGCCCGCTGTGGCCTCGTGGCCGCCTCGCTATCGCCCGATAAGAGGTCCGCTGATGTTTTGTCCGCCCGTTGCCGCCTCGTTGCCGTGCACTTGGAGGGTCCGTCGAGATTTCGTTCGCCGCGTCGCAGCCCGCTGCTGCCCAACGTGCTTGGGGGGTCCGTCGTGGTTGCACCACACTGTTTTCACCGCGTAGGCTACACCACATAACGTGCACCGCGTATCCTGCAAGAAAATATCTCACACCACACATCGTTTTGGGTCCACGCTGGCACACATTATTTGTATCATGGTTATTCTTCTCATGCTTGTTCTCAGTTTGGGTATGCTGGGCCTTCGGCGCGCCCGAGTAGAGGCAGCGGCAGTGGGTGACCGCGGCAGACCCGTACCTCCGACGTCCTGTTTCTTTCGCAGCCCAGTTCGCCCAGGGTGCCGGACAGCCCCACTTCCCCCAGCCGCATCTGACTTGACTGCCTTGAGGCGCTCCGGCCCCGCCCCGCCAAGTCCCCTCCCGTAGACACTCTTGCGGGCAGCGTCGGCGTCAGCGCCAGGACCCCCCAGGGGCCTGGACCCCTTGCCGGGGGCTGGCGCTTCATCCTCACAGCCGTGTTTTTTACGTTCCCTGGGGCCTGGCCAGGGGGCCCCACAGAGCCCGAAGTCCGCCGGCGCGGCTTGCGGCGGCGGCGGCGGCGGCGGCAGCGGGCGGACCGCGGCGCACCGCGGCGGCAGCGGCAGCGGCAGCGGCAGCGGCAGCGGGCGGATGGCGGGGTCGAGGGGGGCGCGGCTCAGCGGCGGCGGCGGCGGCCCGGGCCGCCGCAGGAGTGGGTCCAGCCCGGGCGGCTGCGGCCGGAGACCCTCGGGCCTGCGGGCCGCCAGCAGGCCGGGCCCGGCCCTATTGTGTGTGCCGGGCTGGCGGGCGCTGCCAGGCGTGGCCCAAGCCCGAGGGCCGGATGGCCTCCAGGGGCACCCCTCACGGGGCCGAGGGGGGCCTCGGGGGCATCAGCGCGAGGAAGGCGTGGGCACCAGTCGGCCAGCAGCAGACACTCGCAGGCAAGTATCGCGGAGGAGCCCCCGATGGAGACAGTGGCATCGTCCAACGCGCTGCTTGAGGAAGGCGCTGTTTCCCAGAAGGCGCGGGAAGCTGGGGGGCATTTCGGGTCAGGGCCACCTCCGGCAGCGTCCGGCAGTTGGGGGAGGGAGGAGGCGGAGGAGGGAGGAGGGCCGATGTAAACCCACGATGCTCAGAGCGTGAATTGCCTACCCCGCTTTCGCTTCCAGGCAAAACCAAGCCATACCACGCGCCTCCTCGTGAAGCGGCCTGACCAGCGCAGGCCGTAGTTTGGCGTCGCTTGGTATCTCTTGGAAGCGAGGGTGGTCAAAAGCGAGGTAGGTTTGTTTGCGCCCTAGATGCAGCAGCGATGCTGCAATGTACCCTCCCGTCCCACGCCGCCTCCTCACAAGGCCGTACAAGCCTCCATTTTCGATGCGCGAAGCGCGCCCCCCTGAAACACCGCACAACATGGGCCTGCCATTTTAGCGGGGGGCCTGTTTTGAAAAAAGTTGCTCTTCAGGCGCGCCATGAGGAATGCGGAAAAGTGTGATCACACATCATACATTTCAACGAGGTGTCTGGCGAGATCCAATTGTCGAGAATTGGCCGACCCTATCCGCGCAAATAGTGCACACATTAGTACATTTCCCGTCGCGAATTCGGTGCCTTCGCGACCGGTTGGCATTCGAGCGCGGGAACGACCTCGTCTGACATGGGCGCAACTCGTCTGGGAGCAGGCCAAGCTAGCGATGACCTCTTGTCCTCGTCCCCTCCCGCCCCTCCCGCCCCTTCCGCCCCCTCCCCTCCCGCCTCCCTCCCTTCTCTCTGACGAAGCTTTGAGTACATTGTTCAGGTACCCTCGCTTTGCAGCGCATAGACAGCCAATCTGGAAAGCAGTTGTTTAACAACATGGCCTTTCCATTGACCCCATAGTAGCCCAGGTGTGATATACGATAGCCGCTTCTCTTGCACGGCAGGCATTCTTCCCCTGCTGAGCCGATGTGTCGTACGACATGGCTTGCGAACGAGCGTCGCGAATTCCAAGGGAGTCTCAAGCGAGAGTTACATCTTCACCCTCGGTTGATGGGCTTGTTTTCCACCACCACCAGAAGTTGGAGGGGGGAGGGGGTCCTCCTCCCCCTCTTCTTCTTCCTCCTCCTCATCCTCCACTTCCTTCCCTCCTACAACTTATGGTGGTGGTGGTGGAAAACAGGCCCATCATCGGTCTGAGCTGTGCTACATGTGTTGAAGTTCCTGGCTTGGTTTGGAAGATTTCATGAGCGAGAGCCCCAGGTTGAAAAGGAACCGTTCTCCAGCTCTCTAGTCGCTGCAAGGTTTTGAGACGAGCATGTGCGGCGCCTAGGCGCTTGCACCATTGTGGAAACGATGCGTGATTCATCCGAAGTGTTGCACTCGTTGCAACGAATGTGCGCAGCGCCGATGCAACAACCCATTTGAAGAGCCACCGCCCTTCATCTTAGCACGTAAGTCTTGCAAGCGTTCGAAACTAAGGCTCATCGCGCTAAGGCAAAAGCCCCACTTTGAAAATGGTCCTCCTCTATCTTGGAATATGTTGCATACTGTTGACACGAATATGCTCGGCGATACGGCGACAGCAACAATTTTGAAAACCATTTCCATATCTGAAGCCGTTGAACACTTTTCAAGGCGACTGCGCGCAGCGCTTAGGCGAGAGCCGCCTTCTGCAAAGGAACCGCCCTCCTTCCTCGGAACGGCTGCAGAAGTTGAAGACGAATGTGCGGCGCTAAGTCGAGAGCCACATTTGAAAAGCTACTCCCTTCCATCCTCGCAGCTGCTGCCGGATGTTTACGACGAAGGTGCGCGGCGCTAAGGCGGGAGCCGCATGTTGAAAACCATCCCCCCCTCCATCCTTGAAGCCGCTGCTGATTTTGAAGACGATTGCGCGCGGCGCTAAGGCGAGAGTCGCATGTGGAAAACCTCCACCCCTCCACCCTTGCAGTTGTTGCACAAGCTTACGACGAGCGTGCCTGGCGCTAGGGCGAGACACGCATTTTGAAGACCACCCCCCCAGCGTAAAGTTGACGATGCAGATGCGACGATGCTGCTTCGACTTCACAGCCGGCCTGCTCTAAAGCTTTCGGTCGAGGGCGAATTCATTGGCCCGTTGAAGAGAGAGCGTGGGCTTTGGATTGTTGCCCTTTCTGCTGGTTTGATAGCGCGCTGTCCAGGGGAATTTGCTTTCGTTCATTGCCCTGGCGAGCTGGCCGGCTATGCTTGGGAGGCTTAGCCTTGAATCTTCTTCCTTCCCACGGCACGGTCAGATAATCAGATTGCTTTCGGGGCCAACGCACGCGGACCAGTCTATCCGGCAGTTGGCGCATGTGGAGAAGGCGCTGAGTATCGAAGGGCTCAAGATCAAACCTTCGAGCCGGGAAGTACTCCCAGTGTCGCAGCCGAGCCTGGGGGAGTCCAAAGTGACGATCGAAGGTGCGGAGTGGAAGTTTGAATATGATGTGCTGCTTCTCGGGCACGCTTTGCCATGTTCGGGGCACACTTTGAGATGCCGGGATGTGGCTTTGCGAAAGCTATACAAGGGGTGTCACATTCAAGCTCGTAGCCAGGCGCCGTCGGTGGCTGAGCAGTGCAAAAACAAGCTTCCCAAGAGCCTGACAACCTACTTCTGTCCACGGTGGCATATGAACAAGGAGGGGCTGACCGCGCTTGGCGCCGCACAGCTCCGCTTTGTCACGGCCCCCCCGCCCCACGCCGCACGGCGAGTCGGGCTGTGGGGCCGGGCCGGGGGGCCGTGCCGTGCATGGGGGGTCTCCGGAGCAAGCCGTGGAGCTTTCTCCGCGTCGAGCCCTGCACGAACTGGCGCAGGCACCTCGAGCGCCACCCGGACATGCTTCAGGAGGGGAAAAAACACACAGACACAATTAATCGTCGATCCCCAGGAAAATATGGGAAAATATGGGAAGTGGTGGGGAAGACAAAAACCCAGAAAATATAGGAAAATATGGGGAATATTTTCATTTGTGTGTATTTATTTGTGTGTCCCAGTTTCCCTTCAATGCTGGCCGCGATGGCTCTGGTGGAAGGCAGGGCTGGACCCAAACGGTGTGATGGCCATCTCGTGGGCCGTTTCGCTGCTCGTTTTTGGTTTGGCAGTCGAGGCGAAGCGGAGGCAAAGCGACGAACAACGACAAGCAAGACGAGAACGAAACACCCTTTTTCTTACCATCCATGAGGAGCCCAGCGGCAAGAACGGGTGACAGCAGAGCGCAGAGAAGCCGGAAGAATCAGAGGAGCAGGGGAAGAGGAGGACCGAGGAGGCAAGGCAGCGCGCCCCGGCGAGCGCGCGGAGCAACTAACTACAACTAATTAGTCTGGCGCGCCCGGGCGTTTAGGTCCAGCCCTGCTGGAAGGTGCAGCCACCCACTTGGCTGCGCGGGCGCCGGGCAGAGCAACCCAGCAGCGCGCGCCACTCGCCCGATGGTGAAGATCTGACTCTTCGTGTGGCTGAACGATTCCTCGTCCTCAACGTCCGGCAAGCCACGAACTACCTCCACATCAACGGGGTCCCGGAGGGACAGCTCTCAGGACGCACGCGCGTCGGGAAAACCACGAGAAAACAAGAGTCGGCGGTCCGTTCAGTCGTTGGGAGTGGCCAGCATAGAAGGGCAGGAAGCGTATAGTGCATGGGCTGCGAAGGGTGACGCTTCACCATCTCGAGAACGCCCTCTGGATGACAGAGAAACCTGGAGTGCGCCAGGATGGGTGCGCTTTGCGTGAGTGCAAGTGCAAAAAACTCGACAGCGGCGCTTTTTCGTACCGGTACGAGCAGATGCTCTGCGAGATCTGTGACTACCACGAAGGGGAGCAGCAAAAGAAAAGACCCCCTGGGGGCGTCACGCCGGCACTCGGCCGCGAGCGGGGGCCGCCCCGCCCCAGGCCGCAGGAGCCGAGGTCGGCCGAGCCGCGCGCACGATGTTGTGATCGCTCTCCTGCCTGGTCCTCCCGCTTCTGTGCACGACTACACGTAAGAGTGACCTTTCGCCGGAGTGACCTTTGGTGCGGGCCCGAATGGGGCTCCCCCCGATCGCCGAGCGCGCTGCGACATCAGCGGCCCGCGCCCTTGGGTTTGGCTCCCTCGCGCCCCCACAAGCTGCGCACCAAAGGTCACTCTCACCCAGAGGTCACTCTTACGCCTAGCCGATGTGCTTTCTCTCCCTCCTTTTCCCCCCCGCCTCCTCCGCCTGGCCTGCTCCGTGCCTCCCCCGCGCCGTCCCTCTCCGCGTCTGCGCCTCCGTCCTCCCCTCCTGTGCTGCCTCTCGCGCGTGCGCGTCCGTCTGTTGGCAAGGAGTTTGATGTTATGTGTGCCCTATGTGTGGCCGAGCCCGTAGTGTAACGTTCAGGAGGGAAAAAGCACACAGACACAATCAATCGTCGACTCCCAGAAAATATAGGAAAATATGGAAGTGGGGGGTCCTTTTATTTGTGTGTATTTATTTGTGTGTCCCTGGGCCCCTTGAAACGTGGCGCTGCAGAGTAGCAGCGCAGCATGTGTAGCGTACCATCCCATCACAGATGCGAGCGAACGATCGAAAAAACAAGCACAAGGAACAGCGGTCCGAGCCCACACCTGCGGCTTCTGGCAACGTCTCAAAGCAAGCGAGCGCACAGCTGCAGGCTGGTCGAGAAACAGCCGCACACAGCTGCTGGGTCCTACTCTCCGGAACTTTTGGAGCACATCTAGCCCACTCCCGGCAGGATGGCCGCACGGTGCCCTGAGAATGTCTTGTCGCACACCTGGGCCCAACAACCGCAACGGACGGACACACACATACACACACACACACGCACACACACACCAACAACAACAACAACAACAACATCAACAACAACAACAACAACAACAACAACGACAACGACAACACCAACAACAACAACAACAACAACAACAACAACAACAACAACAACAACAACAACAGCAACAACAACAACAAACAATACAAAACCGCCGCGGGGTCCCCTACGAGCGAATTTCCCGTGGCGCTCCAGGGTGAGGCTCGCGAGAAAGAGAGAGAGAGAGAGAGAACGAACTTGGGGGCCCCAGAGCATCCAACGGCTTCGATTGGGCCCCCGGCCCGCGGAAGCCACATATGCTGTCAATGCCTCCCGAAAGGTCCTTTCTGCCATTTTCGTGCCAGACCCCTGCTGCGGTGGCTGGCGAGTCTTTCCACGCTCGGTGCTGTCCCGGCACTTCTCTTCCTCCTCCTGCTTCTCCTCCTCCTCTTCCCTCCTTCCTTGGGTCTGGGCCAGAGCCCCTGACCCCATTTTTCTGCGTCACCTTTTCGGACCGGATCGATTTGCGAGTGTCCCGGGACCCGAAATTGAGCGAAAACGCCCGGCTCGACAGAAATCGGGTCGCCAATGATCGGGGGCGGCAAAGAGGGTGGTGATGACTAGTGCGGGTGGAGATCATGGCGGGGGCCATGATATTTCCCCAGATTTCATGGCGCTTCTTCTTATTTCATTACGTACCTGGCCCCCCCGCTGGGCCGCGCACATGCCGCCGGTCATGATTTGCACCCCCCCGTCTTGGACACCCCCCTCTTGGCCGCTCCCGAAATGATCGCAGGGTCGCCATGCAAGAGACGGTCTTGACAGCACCGGGCCCTGGAGTCATTTCGCCGCCTTCGGCCTCTCGGGGCCCTCCCCAGGCCCCGGGGGGGGGCCTGCGGGTGCGTCAGGGTGGGCCAGGGCCTCTGCGGCCCCCTGCCCTGGCCCCAAGGGCCTGCCTCCTAGCAGAAGGTGGGTCCCAGCTGGAAGCTGCTGATCAAAGAATCTGCACGCACGGGATGGGTACGGAAAGAATGGGTACGATGCCCAACAGCAGTTCCTGTTCATTTTGAACAGGATTCGCTGTCGGCGTCGCCGCGGATCGGGGGGGCGGTGGAAGCGGGGGGGGGGGGCGGCCCCCACAGAAGACAGGGGGGGGGCTTGGAAGGCGGGGGGGGGCTCTCGCAGGAGCGAAAGGAGGACCGGCTCGTACAGCAAGAACGAGGGTGAAGAACAGCACACACTTTGGAGGGGTACCGTGGTGTTCTTCGTGTTTGGACTCCCCACCTTCGAATGGCCTTCGCCTGGCTCATCTCAAGGGGACGTTGAGCTCTTAGCAAAGGGGTTTGTGTTCTTGATGGATCTGATCGTGTTCATGTTTTCAATGTATCGCTTGGCTAGCCTCCCGGACTCTGGGGCCGTACTCGTGCACGTGGTTGGGCGCGTGCGTCTGTCCTTCACTCCCCATCTTAGAAGGCCTGGGAGGCGTTTGGTCAGGCTTCGTAGAGGCCTCCAGCTCATTCTAGTCAACCCATCGCCTCCTCAGAGGCTCCCACTCTTCAATAGGTAAACAAAAAGTAACACAAACAACCAAAAAACTCGAAGGTCCGCGCGGACCTCCGAGTTTTTATGTTTATGCCACTTTGTGTTCACTTATTCAATTCCGCCCCCCTCTTCCCGGGCGCCGCCCGCAGGACGAGGAAGACAGAGCGCCTGCCTCGGGCGTCGGGGGGGGGGGGGGCGGCCCTGCGGCCGTCAAGCCAGACGTCAGCCACGGGAGCCCCCTTTCTCCGTGGGAAAGTGGGCATCTTCATCATCCCTGCATGTGTCAGTCACGCGCGCACCTTCATCTTCCCTGCATGTGTCAGCCACGTGCGGAGGGGGGTGAGGAGAGTGGGGAGGGCTTCTTAGAAGCACCCCCGCTTCTAAGGAGCCCTCCCCCTCCCTCCACCTCCATGTGCGCGCCGCTAAATGTGCCTCCCGGGGGGGGCCGAAATCGGCCGTCAGCCACAGCAGCGGGGCAAGCGCATCGTCCGCGACAACACGAACACCCTGAGCCACATCGGACCGCTCCTGTACGGCCTGCGGGACAGCAGGACACGTGCGGCCGCCCTTCTCTTGCTCCTCCTGCTCCTCCTGCTCCTCCTGTTCCTCCTCCTGCTCCTCCTCCTGCTCCTTCTCCTCCTCCCGTGCTGTCGCAGGCGGCCCTGGCCCGGGGTGGCCGCACCTCCTCCAGGGCAGGCCAGGTGGCCTTGGCGTCTGGAGCGCGAAAGGGGGGAGCGGGAGGGGGCAAATGGGGGGGGGAGGGCAGCCACGCCCCCCCCTCCCTGGAAAGGTGTCGGTGGAGGAGCTTGCTTCCGGAGCGCGAAAACGGGGGGAAGGGGAAAAGGGGGTCTCCAGAGAAGCGGATAATAGGAGGGAGGGAGGTGGGGTGCTTCGGACAGGGAGGGTCGAATGGGGGGGGGGAGTTTAGGGGGGACCCCCCCCTGGGGGTAGCTAGGGGGCGCGCTCTCTCTTCCATCCAAGCTCTTCCGGTGCCACCCCGGACTGCGCTAGAACCCAGGCGCGTGCGCGTAGCGCGTGCGACGGTTGTAATTTGCATTCATGAATATATGCACACCTATACGTACATACGTACCTACATACATCCATGCATGCATACATCCATCGCATTCACAAATATCACCACACCATGAACATACGCATGCATATACACATGTATGGATGCATACAGATGTGCATATGTATATACATACACACAACTCAACATACATACATACAACAAACATACAACCATACACAAATACATACACACATACATACATACATCCATACACACATACATACACACATACATACGGACATACCTACATGCATGCCTCTATACACACATCCATTACACCTGCATGCAAACACATATGCATACGTACAGGCTTACATCCATACCTACCTACCTACCTACCTACCTACCTACCTACCTACAGACGATCATACATACACACATGCATACTCACAAACATGCGTGCATGCATGCACACACAGCCATACGTACATACATGCATGCAGGCATGCGTACATACATATCCACATACACATACACATAGATGGAACCACTACGTACACATGTACACGTACACATACATGTTCGTATACAAATATGTATATATACATGCATATGCATACACAAATACATGTACACATACATTCACACATACATATACACAAGTTTAATTGTGCATGTATATGCATGTTTATAGGTATACAGTTCGTTCTCGATGTGTACATGGATGTATATCTGTTTTGGGGCTGGGGGCACAGGAACGAGCAGGAACAGGAGGAGGCGGATAACGAGGAGCGATCAGGGGCAGGAGGGTGAGGTGGGCAGGAGAAGGAGGAGGAGGATGAGGAACAGGTGGGAAGCCGCGAGCGCCCGAGCCGGCTCGTGGGACAGGCTTTCATGTTCGCGGCAGTGGCCAGCGCGGCGGAGGCCCGCGCCCGCGATCTACCGCCGCAAGCATCCACAGCAAGCTCGTGTCTCTTCGTGGCCCGCGTGGCCCCACATCGACAGCGACCTCACGGACCCGACGGTCCCACAGTCCCCTCTGGCATGGGCGACTGCGGAGGGCGCGCGCCGACGCGCGGTTCCTGCTGCACACGGCGCGATGTGCCACCTAGGTTCCATGGATCTTCTACCAGCTTTCAGCCTACTCAGAATGATGCAGGGGGGGAGTGGTGATGGTGGCGGTGAGGAGGAGGAGGAGGAAGAGGAGGATGGTGCACATGACATTTCCCATCCACGCCGCTTGCCGCCCAGGCAGCTTGCGTGAGGTCTCCATGCCACCTTGCGTATGACACCCCAACCTTGCGCTCCCGTAGTCAGGTATTCCAAGGGGGAGGAATATGAGAGGGAGAAGGAGGAGGGGGACGTTTCAAACAGAAAACTATGATGACGGCCGACGGACAAACGACGACCGACGACCGACGACACCGACGACACCGACGACGACGACGACGACGACGACGACGACGACGACGACCGTGCGCGGCCAGCCGTCGTCGCCGCAACCGGCGCTGGCCGCGGCGCGCGCGGAGGAGCGACGGGTTGTTGAGGCAGTCGGAGGCCCCGCGCCGCCGCCGCCCGAAGAGGGCGGGCTGTTTCCTCCAAGCTTTCTGTCCATTTCGGCCTCGGAGGCCCAGTTGCTGGGCCCCGGGGCCATCCACAACGGATCCCAGGCAGAAGGCGAGCCTTGGGGGAGTGGTCGGGACCTCTGGGGCTCCGCGCTGAGCAAAGCACATCCGCGGATGGATGTACGGGTCTCCGCCTTCCTCCACCCATTGTCCGCCCTCCTCCTGTCTCTTCCTCCTCATCGTCCTCCTCTCCCATTTTCAGATCGTTCGTCATTTTCATGCGTACGCGCGCGCTGCAGGCCTTCGATGTGTGTGTAGGTGTCGAGTGTAACTTTGGCCCGTACCCCGACGCAGTCCTGTCCTGTCCTCCCATCCCCGCTCTCCGCCCCCCCCCTTCCCTCCTCCTCCCGATTTTCCTATTTACCGAATGGTTCAAATGCAGCCGAAAAGTATCATTACTCGTGCCACCGTGTGCAGCTAGCTCACGTCGTGTAGGCATGCATTGATGATGTCAAAGTGTCATACTCGTTTCTCGTGCTTGTGCTCCTGTTGTTCCTTCTCCGCGTTCCACCTTCCGAGGAGATGGAAGGGGAAAGGTGGAGGAGAACGATGAGGAGGAGTAAGAGGTAGAGGAAGATAGGAGGGGGAGGAGGGGGTGGACGGGATGGGAGGAGGACGAGCAATATACAGAAGAGAAGAAGAGGGATGTGTAGGACTGTCGTTCAGGTAGGGCAAGTGGACGACCTGGACTCGAGCGATGTGCGATGTGTGAGGAGGATGAGCAGGTCGGGTGAGGAGGAGGAGGAGCAGGAGGTGGGGGGAGGATGAGGAGGGAGGGGGGGACAGCAGGGAGAGGAGGATATGGAAAAGTGAGAGTGGTGATGATGATGATGATGATGATGATGATGATGATGATGATGATGATGATGGTGGTGGTGGTGGTGGTGGTGGTGGTGGTGGTGTGGTGATGATGATGATGATGATGATGATGATGCTGATGATGATGATGATGATGATGATGATGATGATTGATGATGATGATGATGATGATGATGATGATGATGATGATGATGATGATGATGTGATGATGATGATGATGATGATGATGAGGATGAGGATGGAGAGGAGGAGGAGGAGGAGAGGAGGAGGAGGAGGAGGAGGGAGGCGTAGGAGGAGGAGGAGGAGGAGGGGAGGAGGAGGCGTAGGAGGAGGAGGAGGAGGAGGAGGAGGAGGAGGAGGAGGAGGAGGAGAAGGACCAGCGTAAGCCCACGATGTATCAACGATGTTGCAGTGCGCACTCTTGACCAGCGTTCCCTGAACAGTCCCTGCGCTTGGAGAGACGAGCGCCACGGGGTCCGGCAGTCCCGGCGGGAGCTCCGTTTTGAGAGATGTTGTTCTCTATCTTTCGAGCTCTACGACTCCTTGTATTACGATTATTACGGCTACTATTCCCTCCTCCTCCTCCTCCTCTTCCTCATCTTCACCATCATTTTCACCATCATCATCAGCATCATCATCATTCTCAGCATTATCATCATCAGCATCATCAGCATCATCAGCATCATCACCATCATCATCATCACCATCATCATCATCGTCACCATCATCACCGCCATCAGCATCAGCATCAGCATCAGCATCATCATCATCATCATCATCCATCCCCGCGAGCTAGCAAGAGTACGACAAAGGGGGTTCTGAGTTCAAGGACGCAGCAAGCGACAGCACCGCTCCGGAAAGGAATCGGCATCTGTCCGGAGAGCGGTTTCACAGCTCTTGATTTCTGGCCATCCGATCTCACGGGTCTCGGGCAGGAGCGCGAGTCTGGACGAGGAGCCACCATCCACGCGTGAGGTTGTTGCGTGCGTTTTTGCTTGTGGAATTCTATGTCTGGAAGTCTCCAGGCGAAGAGAACTGTGCACAGGCACCGACCCTGGCAAGGCCAGTCCTTGACCCAGGATCGGCGCACATGCCTTCCTGGCCAAGGTGGGAGGGCGTATGCACCGATCCTGGGGTCAGGATGGGCCCTGGCCAGAATCGGTGCATGTGCATAGTTCTTTTTAATCTAAAGTCGGGGGAGCGTAAGACCCGGGTTTGCCGGGACTCGGGTTCGCCATCGTTTTTTGACGACCGCGACTCGGATTTTGACGAGGAGGAGTTTTGTGGGATGTCTGCAGCGGGAGGCCTCGTCAAAATGCAGGCTCGGCCTCGTCATTTTTTTGACGACCTCGTCGGGGATTTCCGAGTCCCCCGTACCCGGGTCTTACGTCTCCCCGAAAGGGGGGTTTACGAAATTTGCTGCGTGCAGCTGGTGTCGGGGGTGGACAGAACCCCCAACAGTGACACGTCGATTCGTGAATTGTCCGTTTTCGGTTCTCGAGAGGGCGCCGTGGCCGTTGTTTTCCAGGCTCGCGCCCGCCAGGTTTGGGCCTCAGGTCGTTTTCACTAAACCACGTTGTGCTAAAGGGGGTTCTGTCCATCCCCGGCCATCCATCCGTGCAACCGTTGGGGACGCCTGGCGCAGCCCAAGGATCGGGCTGGACGAAAGGAGGGGATTGGGCAAGGGGGGTTTACGAAATTTGCTGCGTGCAGCTGGTGTCGGCCTCACCGAAGGGCCCATTCCTCGATACATGGGCGCCTCCCGGCGCCGGGAGGCGCCGGGAAAATCAGCTACGCGAGCTTGTTCTCAAAACCCCCCTGTACTATCCCCCCCTTTCGCCCGGCCCGAGACACGGCTGGCGTTGCGGCAGGGATGGTTTCTTTCTTAGGAAAGGGATGGGAGATGAAGGGAAGGAACAGGGAAGGGGGGAGTCGGAATAGGAGTGGGGAGGAAGAGAGACATAGGGATAGGGACGTTTTCTTGATTAGGAATAGGGATGGGATGTCTCTATATATGACTAGAGAGGAAGACAGAAATAGGGGTGGGAAGGAGGCGTGCTGCGTGTGAGGCGGCGTGCAGAGACACCGCAGCGCACTGCTCCTCGAACTCCGGGGGGAAAGGCAGAAAAATGGGGTGGGGTTGCGCCCCTCCGATGAGGCACCTCGCATCCAGGGAACAAGGCGCACCGTCGGGGGACAGCCTTTGGGCTCCTCCATGCCGTCTTCGCCACTGTTTCGGGGACTCGAGAGGCCGCGGCCACCCAGTGGTCAGACTTCTGACGAAACAGAAAAAGTGGCCGACGGGCAACAGGCACGGTGGAATAGTGCTACGTGCCCGCCCTCACAATCCAAACGTTTTTGCCAGGGCTGGACATCAACGGTGTTTTTGGCGATTCCGTGGGCCGTGTTCGTTTCGACTTCGCTTTTCGGCAGAGGCGGATGTGAGACAAAAGCGAGGGAAAGCAGAAGCAAAACGAACACGGAAAACACCGTTTAGGTTCAGCCCTAGAGCGTTACGTGCCCGCCCTCGCAAACCAAAGTTTCCGCATCGCAGAGACGGCGACGGCGCGAGTCGGTCTAAGGAGCAGGGCGGCTGCGGACTCCGAATCGGTGCACTCAGACAAGGGCGGGGGAAGGGGGAGGTGGCATCCGCGGGAGGGGGGAGCTGAAGGCCACCCTTTCAGGCCATGTGGATCCTGTAGGGCCGTGCTGCGGCGCGGGATGCCACGGCGCGGTGCAGAGCGAGGTTGAACGACCAGGTCCGTGAAGGAAGAGGGCTTCGCCAGGACGAGACCCGCAGCACAGCGCACAGCTGGCAAGGATGGGCCTTGCGTGCTCATGGACAGCTGGCTCCAGAGACCCCGCAATGAGTCCCTGCCCAGCGTCAGTCCACGAACGCCAAGCAGAGGTTCAAAGTTCCACGCCCCCCGAGGGGAGAGCTCTACGAGACACAGCAACATGCGTTGCGCGAAGAGACTCCGCGTACAATCGGCACCGTGCGAAGAGACCCCGCGCAAGCTATTTCTTACCTCTTCGCGGGTCCTACTCGCCCACTGAACAGCGCCTGCATTGCGTGGTAGCGTACGTCCATGCTCTTGAATGGCATGCCTTGGTCTCGCCTGGTCGCGCATGATCTGATTCCGCGCGTTCGTCCCTGGTGTCATGTGTGGCGATATGGTCCGGTCTCGGAGGACGTCAACAGCACACTTGGACTGTTTTTGACTAGGCCGATACTGGGCCCAGGATGAGCCTTGTTAGTATCGGTGCAGCTACGCACTTGGCGTCCTTCAGTGGCAGGTTACAGTCTGCCCGCAGAGTAAGGATGAGCGACTTTCCAAGGCTACCCGTGCATCCTTCCTCTTCGGCACATCCTTGGCCGCTTTTGCTGGCCGCGCCCCGCTCGCAAAGTGTCTGCATGGCCCTCCGAGGCCCTTGCATCCTCACCGCGCGTCCTTAGTTGCACGGGTTGACCGCGCGTATCGCGCGAGATCATCTGGCGGCGGACGCCTGGGACCGCACAGGTCGGGAGTCGGCACGATTCCCTCGCCCCTGGCAGGCTCGGATCTGACCAGCTCGCGAGGGGCCTTCGCGGTCCTCGGCTCGTGCCGCGGCCCCGCGGGGTGAGGGCTCGCGTGCCCGCCGGCGTGCTGCCGAAAGGGCGCACGCCCATGACGCCATCACTCCCGAGCGGTCGGCGGAGGAGCAGGCAGCGGCGCCACTGGGTCAGGATCCTGGGCGATCCCGCTCGGAGCGGCAGAGGCAGACATGGTATGGTGGAGCAGAGGCAGGAGGGGAGGGCGCCCTTGAATTGCCAGCGCTCTCACGCGCGCGCCCGAGGTTCCCATGTATGAAGGGTCCGCAGGGGTGAACGCGAAGGCGGAGCCTGCCCCCGCAGTTCGGATGCAGATTGTGCTTTTGATGTGGTGTATGCAGTGTGTGTGTGTGTGTGCGCGCGTGTGTGTGCGTGTGTCTGTGTGTGCGCGCGCGCGCGTGTGTGTGTGTGTTTATGCGTGTGTGTATGTGTGTGTGTGTGTGTGTTTGTGTGTGCGTGTGTGCGTGTGTGTGTGTGTGTGTGTGTGTGTTTGTGTGTGTGTGTGCGTGCGTGTGTGTGTGTGTGTGTGTTTGTGTGTGTGTGTGTGTGTGTGTTGTGTGTGTGTGTGTGTGTGTGTGTGGGCGTGCTCTCGCCTCGTTTTCGCGTCTCGTCGTTTTCGCCGCCCTGGTTTCAGCTTATCTTGGTCATCCTGTCCGTATCCGCTCGCTGTTCTCTGCCATTATCATTGCCGTGACTGCCGCGACGTGAGGCGCGTGGTCGCCCATTTGAGAGTGCGTGTGTGTGTGTTGTGTGTGTGTGTGTGTGTGTCGCGTGTTGGCATGATGTTTGTTTGTGCGGTTTCCTCTCGCATTCCTTCTCCTTTCTCTTTTTTCCCGACCTGGCGTCTGGCGTCCCCGTGTTTGTCCGCATACCTCGATGTCCTGCATGTCTTTGACAGACTCTGATCTTGGCTGCTCAGCTGTCGGCTATGCCCGTTCCTCTCGGGGAGTACTAGCCCTGGCGTGCACGCTGCAACACAAGGTGGTGACTTGACTTTGAACGCGTCCCGTCGTAGTTGCACTTGGCCCGCTGATTGTCAACCCGTCGGCGCGCTGGAGGAAACGTGTGCGTGGTACTGTTGGATTGCGATGCTCTGATTTGCGGGCCTTCTAATTATCCCTGACTTGCCGGCAGCAAAACTCGCCCCAATCGCTTGCCCTTGCACGGCTTCATCACCAGCTTCGCCGTGTGCGGTGTTACAGACAACATCCATGGTGAGGATCCGACGCGTAACCAAAGGCTACCCTTGCACCCGTGCTTACTAGGCCCATCCTTACCCGCCGTTGCTGGCCGGCGGCCAAGGGCATTTCGGCGGCGCGCACAAAGGGCTAGGGCGGGGTGAGCTTTCTAAGAAGGCGGGATGCCTCTCAGAAGGAAGGTGCCTTCTTCGAAGGGCCTGGAGGCTTCTAAGGAGGATTCTCAGAAGCCAGGAGGGCTTATAAGAAGTGCCTTCCCAGGAGCCCCGCCTATTTCTTGGAAGGCGGCCCCCACTGCGCATGATATTCTTACAGCTGGCATGTGGGTAAGGACAACCCTGGCTTCGGAGGGGTACGCTCATGTATGTTCCTCGTGTTTGGGTTACACCTTGGAACGTGTTTCGTTTTGTGCACCTCCACTGGGCCTTCGGCCTGTGCGGTAAAGGGGCTCGCGGTCTTGACAGATGTTCTTGTTGCCATGCTTCGGCTACACCTTGAGACCTTGCTGCAGGCTTCGAGTGGAAGACAGGGAGGAGGAGGACAGGGAGGACGAGGGCAGGAAGGAGGAGGAGGAGGAGATGGAGGAGGAGGTGGAGGAGCAGAGAAGAGGAGGAGGAGGCCCGCTCGCGCAGAATTGGATGCAGGACGCCATTTCGGCAGGGTCGGGCCTCCTCCACCTCTTCTGGCGCCTTTCGCATTTCGCCCCGCGTGGGCGTGAACAAGGACGCATCCCTTCCATGCCTCAGCGATTGGCGTGGCGGGTCCTCCCGCGGCGAAGATGGCAGAGATCGTGACACGGAGTGTTCCACCCATGCCCACGACATTGATGGCAGTGTTTTGGGATTGGGCATGATTGGGAGCGAAGCTGAACGACGCCCGAGCCCTTCCTCCACGAGGACGGAAGAGGATGATGAGGAGTAGGAGGAGGACGAAGAGGAGGAGAGGAGGAGGAGGCAAGAAGGCAAGGATGAGGAGGGAAGCTGGAATGAGGTAGAGGAAGAGGGAGTGGACCGAGGAGGAGGAGGAGCGAAGAGGGAGGGAAGAGGGGGGAAGGAGGTGGGAGTGCAGGGGGAGGAGGAGCGGGGAGGACGAGCCGCGACGGAGGAGGAAGAGGAGGGAGGAGGAGAAGGAGGCCCGAGAGGTGCCCGCTTGCCTCCGCACGTCCCCGCGAGCCATCTTGAGAACGGACACGAAGCAGCAACGCCCAGAAGTTTGGATCGCCTTCGTCGCTCCCCGATCTTAGATCACTGAGGCCCCTCCACTTTTTCGATCCTCTCGATCCTCACTTTTCCCCCTGCCCTCCGAAAAGTGCCCTCCCGGGGCCCCGCAGGCGGAGCGCATACCGATCTACGGCCCCCTGCCCCCGGACTGCGTGGTGGGCACTTTCGGCCCGGAGCCTCCCGCCGCCCCCCCCCGCGCGTCGTCGTCTTCGCCGCAGCCGCCGTGCTCGTCGTTCGGGGCGGCCCCTGGGGCCATCCCGCTGAGGCTGAGGAGGAGGAGGAGGAGGAGGAGGAGGCAGAAGTGGCAGAAGAGCAGGAGGAGGAGGAGGGTGAGGTACCGATATCGCTACCCGTGGCGTGTTCTCGCCTCTTGGGGCCTCCTGGGAGGCTCTCGTCCTCCACGGCTGGATCCGCGTCGACAGTCTGGTCAGAACGCACCCAGGGAGAGCTCTGGGAAGTAGCGGGGAGGAGGGGGAGGAGGGGGAGGAGGGGGAGGAGGAGGAGGAGGAGGAGGAGGAGGAGGAGGAGGAGGAGGAGCGGTACCTCGTGTTTCCCCAAAGCAGGGCGCCGCAGACTGCTTGAGGGAACACCCCTGCCCCGCGCTAGTGCGGCATGGAATTCCCCTTCGACAGGCTCTCGCGACGAATCCCATCCTCTTGAGTGTTCTGGGGCTTACCGCATCTCTAACCGCGACCCTTTCGGGGCATTGTGGAGGTAACGAATCGGAGACCGTTCCTGGAGTTACAGCACAGTGCAGTCGTCGTCGTCGTCCGCACCTCCTATGTCCACAATCCTCCCCCTTTTTAGTTTCTCCTCATGCGAGTATTTTCTCGTCCTGCTCGCTCTTGTCCATCATCCTGCGCTCATCCCTCCCCTCCTCCTTAACCCATGGGAAGTACCAAAGTGAACACCAAGGTAGAGAAGGAATTCTTGACGCTTCGCGTATCCCCACCAGAGTGCACTTCCTGCCTTTGGACCCAAGTGTGTTTACCAGCAATACCGTCTGCATGGCATCACGGGGCGTGTTGCTTGCAGGCCGTAGTTGGCCCCGGCCCTGCTGTAGTTGTTTTCACCTCTGGCCCTGGTGGAGTTCGTCCCCCGGCCTCGCGGCTCTGTGACCGACGCCGATGGCGTTGCCTCGTCTCCGTCCAGATACGCACTCACCATGCTCCCTGGGTTCTCAAAGGTACTGCGGCCTTCAGCTGCTCTTCAGTTTCACATGCACACGTGGCGGCCTTCCGCCGCCCTCCCTGGTACACGCACTTCCTACCTTTGGACCCAAGTGTGTTTACCAGCAATACCGTCTGCATGACAGCGCTGGGGCATGTTGCGTGCAGGCCCTAGTTGGCCCCTGGCCCCGCTGTAGTTGTTTTCACCTCTGGCCCTTGGCCCTTTCGGGATCCGTCCGCCGGCCTCGCGGTTCTGTGACCGACGCAAAGATGGCTTCGCCTCGTCACTGTCCAGTACCGCTCTCATGCTCCCTGGGTTTCTCCATGGAAAACAGCGGCCTTCAGCTGCTCTTCTCCGCGCTCTCCTGGGAGCGACTGTGGGCGGGTGGCTTCCCGGCAGCGGGTCCTCAACGTAGACCAGACGATGGACTCCTGGTGCCGTTGAGGTACCCCTCCGGTGACGATGACTTGGGGTGCCTCCCGTAGGGCTTTGCCGCGTTCGGACGCAGGGACCAGTTGCGCACCCACCTGCGCGCACCGGCCTCAGTGTGGCAGCGGGTGGTCAGGAGACTGATCCCACATTTGTGCAGTGGTTCGCTGGGCCTTTGCTGGCCGCCAGTTACGGTTGCCTGGATCGGCATCTCCACCGTCGCGCCCCCGCTCCACCCGGACGAGCGGTCTTCCCTGGGCTTCTTCGTGACCACTGGCTGTTGCTTGGGCTGCAGCTGGTAAGAGGCAGCACCGCTCCTCGAGCGCCTTCGTCTACTCCACTCAGGTACGCCAGTGTATTTTGGTTAGGCGGCTCCGGTTGTGCTGGTCACGTTTGTTGCTTCCTGGTACACGCCCCTGTTCTCATCCGGTTGGCGTCGCTTGCGATCTCGGCTGGTGGATTGGGACTGTTGTACCTTCCGCATTGCGTTACATCATGTCTTGATGGTCGCTTGCGTCCGCATCCATTCGCGGCTGTCTCCTGGGCTGGCGTGCCTGGTTCGGTTCGACACCACGAACTCCACGCCTTCGGGCTTTGTGGGTGCGTACTCTGAAGCTGCGACGGTTCGCTGGCGCTGTCAGAGCTAACCTTTCGTACGGGATGCCAACTGACGACTGCTCTTTTGTCTTTCGGTTGATGCTTGTGCATGGCAGGGCCCCTGGATCCCCTTGCACTTCATTCCCGCCGAGGTTGGGGACCTCCTCCTGTTCAGTTTGTGTCACAGGCTGCTTCTGTTCTGTTGGACTGACACGGTTGGGGTCTTGCATCGCGCCACTTTGGCAGCGTAATTACCTCTCCCTGGGTGCTGGGTCCCCATCAGACTCCTTGGGCAGCAGCACCCTTGCACCCGCCGCTCGGCGCCGGCCGCGGTTCGCGCGCGCCTCCGGCCAATTTGTAGCGGCCGCAGCCCGACCGTTACCCGCCGCCGCTGGCGCTTCCGCCTGCGGCTGTAAAAAAAAATCCCCACCAGCCCATCCAAAAACGATGCCCAGGCGAATTGCGGTGATCAGGGAAGTGAGAGAGCATACAGGGTAGCAAAGGGCTGGGGGACCTGTCTTACCCAAGAGGGCGAGGATGGAGGATGAGCCGGAGGAGGATGAGGAGGAGGAGGAGGAGGAGGAGGAGGAGGAGGAGGAGGGGCAGCAGGTGGGAAAAGTGGGAGGAGGGAGGAGGGAGGAGGGGGAATAGGCGGATGATGAGGAGGAGGGGGAGGAGGAGGAGGAGGATGAGGAGGGGGAGGAAGAGAAGAGGAAAGGAGGAGGAGGAGGAGGATGAGGCTGATAAAGTGGAGGAGAAGGAGGAGGAGGAGTAGGCCGACAAGGAGGAGGAGGAGGAGGAGGAGGAGGAGGAGGAGGATGAGAAAGATGAGAAGGAACAAGAACAATGACGTGCACAAGAGCCTCCTAGGATGTCCCTTGGAAGTTGTTTTGGAGTCCTCTTGGAGCGCCTGGGGGATTCTTGGATGCCTCGGGGATCCTCTTGAGGCCTCTTGGGGGTCTAGGGAGCCTCTTGAGGGCCTCTTGGGGACCTCTTGGGGCCTCCTGGGCGCCTCTTGAGGCCCTCTTGGGGCGCTCTTGGGAGCCTTGGGAGCGCTCTTGGGGCCATCTTGGAGGTGATCGATCAAAGGAAGGGGTCCCCCAATTGGCGTCCCCCCTCGGGAGCCTCTAAAATCGCCTCTTGGACCCCTCTTGGGACGCTCTTGGAGCGCTCTTGGGCGCTCTTAGGGCCGTCTTGGGGCCATCTTGGGCCCCTCTTTGGGCCCTCTTGGGCCCTCTTGGAACCATCTTGAGGCCTCGAATGGCCATCGGAAGCGAAAAGGCGAGACAGCAAAAAACATTGATTTTCGTTAGGTTTTGGAGCCATTTTGGCCTCTTGGGGGGCCCCCTTGGGAGGCTACGTGGCCAATTGGAGTCGTCTTGGGGCGGTCTTGGGGCCTTTTGGAGCATCCTCGGGGCCATCTTGAGGCGTCTTGGGCTGTCTTGAGCCATCTTGGAGGTCATCTTGGGCTCTCCGAGGCCCTCTTGGAGCCATCTCGGGCCATCTTGGACGCTCCCAACTACCAGCGAAACCCCCCGTCCAGGTCTAGGGGAGGGGGTTAGGGGGAGGGGTAAGCCCCTCCCCGAAGGGGAAGAAGGGAAGATGGAAGAGGAAACTCCCGGAACCACCTACGCCCAGAGGGCTGGTGGGACTCAGTTTTTCGAGACTGTCGGCGGTGGAGGCAATAGAGTCTATTCTCAGTAGCCTTGGCCATAAACAAGATGCAGAAAATGCAAAAGATGAGGCATGCCATCAAAGCCGGCCACAACAGTCCCGCTCACACCATGACGAAGGCAGGACACAGGCTGAGATGCCACCTGATGGAGATCCTCACCCGCCACATGGAGACCCACCACAATATGATTGGGATGATGAACATGATGACGACCTACAATAACGCGAACCAAGCAATGGGGCCACGGGGGATTGACCACTACTCGTCGGACGACGAGCAGACGGAGGAAAGGGAACAAGGGCAACAGCAAGGGCATGACGCGCAATGAAGTGGCACGCGGGATCGAGAGCCAGCGGAAAGGACCGAGGTGTTGTTAGGCGGAACTAGATCGTAGCACCGTTTCGCGTCACCACTACCAACAGGGGGGCTACGACGAGACGAGGGCTCCAACGGGGGAAGCTTTACAGATGGGCAGCTGCCCAGGGACTGCGTGCATGAACAGAAGAGGCCCAATAAGAGGAGTAGATGGCTGATCTGGCCCAGCTGACAAGAGCAAGCATCCTCCGACACCCCATGCTACTCCCCCAGCCAGTAGCACGCAGGCCGTGGAGGACGCACAGGGCCAGCTCAAGCTGAACATGAATCAGGACGAGAACGCGGCCGAGAAGGAAGGACGACAAGAAGAACAAGAAGGCCGCACTATCAGTGCTGGTATGCAGGGGGCACTCGAAGGCGCGGGAGGTGGGAGACACGAGGTACGTGCTCGAGAAAACCAGCGGGAACATCATGGGACGCAGCGAGACCTGGCTGCAAGAATATCCACTACAGCCTCACAGGGCAGATCCACTACGCAAAGCGCCGGCGCCGGCTGCTCTGGCTGAGTATTGCGGGGGCGCCAGTCGGGTCAATCACGAGCAGCGGGGGCGCCGTGGCGAAGGCGGAGAGCAGCCTCTCGTCGAGGGACCAACTGCAGATTGCGGGGTGGGTGATCTTGGAGCTTTCCCAGATCACAGGCCTCCTGTACGGCAAAGTGAGCGAGTACAAGAAGAAGCAGATGCCGAACAAGCAGAACAATCCCACCAACCAGACTGACGAGAGCGTGAGATCGTTCAAGATGAACGATGACACGCACGAGCCAAAATGGGAGATCGATGGCCCACCCAAGTGGGCCCAGTACGGCATGCATGTGGCGGGGCACCACACACAAGGAAAGGGCCCTCGCCGCCAAGGTTTGGTCAGCTGGCAAATGTGGGGAGAGCGTGCTTGCAGGACGCGCGGGACACAGGACCTTAGTGGGCCCTGGAAACGACAGGGCCGTTTTTTCACCGGTTCCGTTTTGCTGTTTTTTTGCCGGTTCCGACGCCGTCTTTTACCAGTTCCGTCGCCGTTCTTTCACGGGTTCCCGCTCCGATTCCAATCCTGGAGCCGTTTTCGTTGCCGTTTCCGGTCGCCGTTTTTTTGCCATTTCCATTTTCGAGGGACATTTTCTTCGGAAACGGTGAAAAATCGGCCCTGCCGTTTCCGGGGCCCACTGCGGACAGGACCACGCGCGTGCAGTTTTTCCCCAACGCCTCCCTCGGAAGACGGAGAGGGCCAAGCACCTTCCGTCGCGGGGTTTTGTTCGCGGCGAGAGGGGGTCCGAGTCTTCCTCTCGAAGATCGGCCTCGGACCACTCCTGGGGCGCGTTCTGACCAGCACTTCAGCGGGGGGCAAGCCGGCCTTGGCGACGAGAAGCTTCCCTTGGGGGGCCAGAGAAAGGCGAAACAGGACCGGCGACCAACGATAACGAACATCGAACCTCGATCCTTCCCCTCGGTCGATGGTCGGTCGGTCGATGAGAGCTGTCAGGAACTTCCGTGGCCGAACCCAGGGAGACAACGCGACTACAAGTAGAGAGAGGGAGAGAGGGCACTGCGTCAGAGGGTCATTCATCCTGGGCGGTAGCCTGCCTGGGAGACGTCGCCTTCCTCCTCACCGAAAAGGTTGAGCGATGCACAGGAACCCCCCACACAAGAAGTTGCCCCCCCCCCTTGGGCCTCTTTGTTCCCCTTTTTGACCCCCCTTGGGCTCCTCCATCCCTCTCCTTATAAATAAGTAGTCCCTGTCAACCCCAAGAGGGGCCGGTAGGATTGGCCAGGCGTTTCGCCTTACAGTTTTTTCGTTGCTTATAGACTTGAAGCTTGGACTTTGGCAACAGGTTCGCGGACGGAGGGTTGTTGGTTTCAAATTGTGGTTCTCGCTTGAGCGCCGCTCACATTCGTGTTAAACGTGTGGGTTTCCAACATGGGGTTATCGCCTTGGCGCCGCGCGAATTTGCCTTTAACGTGTTCAGGAGTTTCACGGATAGAGGGCGGGTGGTTTTCTAAATGCAGTTATTGCCTCAATGCTGCGCGCATTCGTTTTAGATTTTGCGGGAGCTTCACGGATGGAGGGCGGGCTCCTTTTCAAATTGCGGTTCTTGCTTCAGCGCCGCGCAAGTTCTTTCTAACAGTGTGCAGCAGTTTCAAGGATTATCGTGGTTGGCGTCCCCAGAATTTTGTTCTGGCACGATTTATGATTGTCAGGGCGCAGCAGTAACGCTCATTCACGGCGGTGAGGCCCCGGGAATGGTGCGTTGGCTCGGTTGGAGATTGTCACGCGGTTGTCTTCCAACAGGGTTTCCCCGCAACGAAATAGATGCTTATGGGAGCCTACAAAGAGGGAGTTCGAAGGAAGGGTTTATTGCAACATCGTTGATGTGTCTTTGGTTTACACTGGCCCTCCCCTTCCCCTCCACCTCCTCCTCTTCCCCCCCCCCCCTGTTGCTCCTGCCCGCCAGGACCACGCGTGACGCTTCGGGTGAGCCGCCCCTGCTGGGCCCGTCGCCATACGCGACCCCGCGCGCGTGTCGCGCCAACACCGCTCACCCAGCCCACCTCGCGTCCGCTGCCGATCAAGGTCGGTCAGGTGTGCTGTGACTCTCCCTCGGCGTGCAGAGAACACGCATCTGCATGCACACTACTTGTCGGAGCTCAGCGCGGACCTCCGAGAGTTTCTGTGACTCTCCGTCGGTCGGAGGAGGAGATGTTTGAGAAACGTAGCCCACCCACCCAAGACGCACGGTAGGACCACGGGGCCGTCTTTGGGCCCTCTTGGGGCCGTCTTGGAGGCCTTTTGGGCCGTCCTGGAGCCATTTTGGACGCTTGTGGGGCCACCTTGGGGCGATTGTTGCAGCCTCCTGGGCCGTCTCGGGCCGTCGGAAGACCGAAACGAAGGAAATGCTACAATCCTTCGAACCCGGTCCGCGCGAGACCGCACCCCGCTGGACTTGCCAGGAGCTCGCGAGATCGGCAGCAGCTGCGCGGCGCCCAGGGCGTCGAGGTCTCCGTGTGGGGCCGCACTCCGCTGCACTCCCCACGAGCTCGCGAGAGTTGCGATGGCTGCACGGCTGGTCTCGTTTGGTCCGCGTGGGATGGCACCCCGCTGGACCCCCCAGGAGCCCACGGAAGGTAACGATAGCTGCGCAGCTGGCAGCGCCCAGGGGCCCGAGGTCTCGCTTGGTCCGCGTGCGATCCGACTGCGTTGGACCCCCCCAGGACGCCCACGAAAGTGGCGACGGTTGCTCACCCAGCTGCGCCCGGGGCTCGCGAGGTCTCGTTCGGGCCCGCGTGGGACCGCGCTCCGCTGGATCTCCAGGGGGATCGCGTGCGCCTCCTGGTGCTCGGTACCCGACGGTCCGGCCTTCTTCCCTTGGGCACGCGGCCAACGGGCAAAGAGTTCTGTCGGGCGTGTCCCTCTACATGGGGATTTTCGACGGAAAATAAAAACACCACAGAAAGGCCACAAAATACCGAACGAAATAGTTCCCAGACTATTTTTGGATTATTTTTGGACAATTTTTGGAGCATTTTTTATTTTTCGTCGAAAGTCCCCCTGTAGGGGGACAGGCCCGACTTAAGACCAGCGCAGTGGTTGAAGATGGGAGAGGGTATGTCTGGATTCCCAGATCACAGTCTATTTAGGCGCTTCCCTGCTTCGAGGATGGGGCCGTTTTTCCAACTATCTCCTCCTTCATGGGGTGGGGAAAGCGCAATCTGCTTCCAACGCCTTCTCACTTCATGTTTCTACCCACTTCTTCTGATCCATGTGTGCCGACCGATGGGAGGGGATATTCTGAAGGCCTTACGGCCAGTGCCGCCGTCCCTGGAGGCGTGGCCTCTCTCGGGACTCCTTGGCAGCCTGCCGGGAGCCCGCGGCTGGGGCCCGGGCCGGGGTCGGCGCCGGGGCTGGCGCCGGGGCGGGTGCCCGGACCAGGACCAGGGCCAGCCTTTCCCACAGGGGTGACCCCTCCCTGCCCCCCTTGTCCAGTGGGGCCCCCCCCCCCCCCGGACCCCTTGGGGGGCAGTAGTAGTCTGACCCTGAACCCCCCCGTACCCTCCCCCCCCGGTCAGGGAAGGGAAGAAAGACAGGGAATCCACTCAACTACAACGTTTCTTTTCTCTGTTCGTTCCTCCGTTTTCTTGGACTGACGACGACGACGAAGACGACGACAGCGTCTCACACACGCCGGAAGGTCGGCGGATTTCTCGATCCCCACATCCCAAATTTGACTTTAGGCGCCTTCCTACTTCCAGGATCTGGCCGTTTTTCCTCTTTCTTCCTTTTCAGGGAGCGGGCGGGAGCGTAATCTATTTCCAACGCCTTCCCACTTAATCTTTCTACCCACTTCTTCCGACCGATGGGTATAGTCAAAGCGCATAGCAAGGATGAGCAAGTTTACAAGCTTATCCTTGCATACTTGCCCCTTCGCCCCATCCTGGCCACTTTCGCTAACCAGCACCGCACGAATAACACCGACGTGGCCGTCCAAGGACCTGCCATTCTCATCGTGCATCCTTATTATGCGCTTTGACCGTAGCAGGATGTCAGACGTGGCACGAGCGCAGCGCAGGATGCTTCATTATCTCCTCCACCTCCTCATCCTCCTCCTCCTCGCCCTCCTCCTCCTTCTCGCCCTCCCGTCTCCTCGCCCTCCTCCTCCTCCTCCTCCTCCTCCTCCTCCTCCTCCTCCTCCTCCTCCTCCTCCCCCTCCCCCTCCCCCTCCTCCTCCTCCCCCTCCCTCTCCCCCTCCTCCCCCTCCCAAGCGCCGCTCTTGGCGCACGTCGGCGACCAGGCAGCGCACGTTGGCGGTCGAGCCTCTGCCCCCCCCCTCTCCGGGCATCGCAACCGATCGCCCCGCGCCGCCGTCGGAGACGGGGCGCTGCCCCCCCCCGCCGCCAGAAAGAGGCCCCGGGGAGCGGAGCGAGGAAAGGGGGGAAGGAGCGGACGGAGGAGAGGAACGGGTGAGGAGAAGATTGGGGGAGGGAGGGTGGAGGGAGGAGGACGAGAAGGAGGAGGGAGGTGGAGGGAGGAGGAGGGGGAGGAGGAGGGGGAGGAGGAGTAGGAGGAGGAGGAGGAGTAGGAGGAGGAGGAGAAGGAGAAGGAGGAGGAGGAGGAGGGATGAGGAGGAGGAGGAGGAGGAGGAGGAGGAGGAGGAGGAGGAGGAGGTGAAGGAGGAGGAGGAGGAGGAGGAAGGAGCAGGAGGATGGGGAGGATGGCCAGTTGAGACATCGGTGGATTTCATCCCTCCTCCCCCAGTCTTCTTCTCCGAGGCCACTTCCGAGGCCTACCTCCTCGTTCGAGGGGGCCGCTGGTGTCCCAACTGGTCCTCCTCCGCGAGGAAGAGTGCGGGAGGGAGGACGGGAGGAAAGTCGATTGCTCGGAGGCCTGGAGGCTGACGCCAACACCAATATCGCCGGTGTGACTCCACCGAGGGATGGCGATCTCGATCTCGGTGATTGTGTATTATTCAGGTTTCCTAGGCGTCTGGAAGATTACCACCAACACCAAAATTTGGGATCACCTTCTCCCAGTGGGGGCCATCCCCTGTGCTGGTGTTGGTGCCCACTTCGAAGCCTCCAAGGTAGGATCGAAATTGGTACGGGAACCATGGACGAACAGCGACAGCAGCTCCTGCCCATGTTGAACAGGATTGGCTGCCGGTGTCGCCGCGGACGTTGCCCAATTAAGGCATCCAAGCAGCTGCCCAGCATCGGTCGCCGTCGGTTTTGGACATCATGCGCCGTTGGGCATCGCACATGTTGTTTCGTACCCACTTCGGGTGTGCCAAGCGATTGGGGAGGGAGGGGAAGGATAAGGAGGCGTGCGGGAGGAAGCGGGGCACGGAGTGGGAAGGCGGAGGAGGAGGTGGGGCACCAGCCGTCAGCCCGCCAGCTTTCTTCTCTGGCCCTCATTCCTCCAAGATCCATATTTCCTTCCTCGCCTCCCTCCCCCCGCTGTCCTCGGGGCTTGGCGCCGATCCAGGGAATCCGCCCGGGCCTCCGCAAGTTGTATGTTTACGCAGTTTTTTGTACTTCGAGGAAGGATGCGCTGATAGGAGGAGGAGGAAGAGTAGGACCGTTGTGAGCCTAAGACACATCAGCGATGTTGCAATAAACCCTCCCTCCAAGTTCCCTCCTCGTAGGTCCCTACATCAAGTCTTCTTTCACTGCGGGAATTGTAACGTTTGAAGACAACCGCCTGGTAATCCTCACTAGTGCCGCAACATCGTTTCTGGGACGCCAGCGCAAGGAATCAATCAAACTGATGCGTTTTGATGATCTTGAATCATCCCAGAACACCGTTCTTGAGGACTTCAACACCTCGAATCAACGTGACTGTCGCGCCATGACAATCCAATACCGTGCTGGAACATTATCCCTGAGGCGCTGTTCTTGATGAGTTTGCGCGGCGCTAAGGCGAGAGCCACGTTTTGAACAGGAAACACGCCCTCCATCTTCGAAACTCGTTCAAACTTGCAAGACGAACGTGCGCCGTTGTAAGGCGAGATCCACATTTTGAAAAGGAGCCTTCCTCCATTTGTGCAAGTGTTTATAACTTTTAAGGCGAATGCGCGCTGCGCTAGGCCGTGACAGGAGATTCAAGAACGAGCAGAGCGCCCTCAATCCGTGAATCCTTCCGTTAAAATTTTGAGACGATGGTGCGCGGCGCTAAGGCGATAGCCACATTTTGAAAACGACCCGCCCTCCATCCGTGAAATTGCGAAGGCCTTGTGGCCCGTGCCGCCGAAGGGAGACGACGACGACGACGACGACGACGACAACGGCGGCGGCGTCGACGACGACGACGCTGACATGGGCAACAGTCCTAAAGGATGCAAGACCTCTTAAGACAAGACCTCTTAAGACAAGACCGTGACGGTACGTACCACATGACACTTGGCCACGACACCGACGCCGACGACGACAGCGACAATGACGAAGACGGCGCCGCCGACACCGACTACGACGACACCGACGACGTCTCCAACGACTTCGACTACGACAACGAGGACACCGACGACGACGACGACGACGTCAACGACGCCGACGACGACGACGGCGACTACGACGACACCGACGACGTCTCCGACGACTTCGACGACGACAACAACGCCGACGACGACGAAGACGACGACGACGTCGCCAACGAAGACGACGACGAGGGAGGAGGAAGGACGACGACGGCGACAACGACGACAACGACGACAACGACGAGGGAGGAGGGAGGACGGCGACGACGCGAACGACGAAGAAGGAGGAAGGACGGCGGCGCCGACGACGACAACGACGAGGGAGGAGGGAAGACGACGACGACAACGGCGACGACGACGACGGCGACGAAATAGGAGGGACGACGACGAGACGCCGACGACGGACGACGACGACGACGAGGGAGGAGGAGGAAGGACGACCACGGCAACAACGACGACGGAAACGACCACGACGCCAAAGAGCACGACGACGACGAACACGAGGAAAGACAGAGGACGACGTAGGCGACGACGACGACGACGACCCGGAGGGAGGGAGGACGGCGACGACGACGACGACGACGCAAGAGCGCGCGCGCACGTTTTTGTTGAAAATCCGTGTTGCGAAATCTTCTGTTTTTGTAGGTTGTTTGGACACACGATTTTGAAATCCTTCCGGAACCGATGGGTTTTGAAGGTTTTCGGCATACGCGCGCGACGACGCGCGAGTCTGCACTTCGTCATTTGTTGCAGAGGATTCTCGCGACGGCACACGCGCAAGGGCGTTCGACTGATTTCGACATGCGCGCGCGGAGCACGTTTAACAGCACTTTGTAAACATCTTGAAAACCCATGGTTTCCTTAAGATTTCGCAAGAGCTCGCGCGGAAGCTGTTTTAGCAAATCAGCGTTGCGAAACCATGTGTTGTCGTATGTTTGTTTGGGAACTCGATTGCGAAATCCTTCTGGCACCGAGGGTTTTTGAAGGATTTCAGCATGCGCGCGCGACGACGCGCGCGTGCGCACTTCGTCTCATTTTTTGCAAAGGATTCGCGAACAAGTGCTATGTTAGAACAAAACATGTCACCGCATAGTGTTTTTTACAAGGGACCCTCAGGGGGGGGATACCGGTTGGCCTGGGACATTGCGATTTCATATTTAGGATGGACATGTGGTCTGAATCATATATGATTTACATACCCGAAAGGGGGAGTGATAACGCCGGGGGGGGGGGGGAGATCCTATTCTGTTTAGAAAGGAGAATCAACTGTTGGGCAAACCGCGGTACAATCGGCGAGCCCCAGGCGGGCGGCGACAAGGCGGCGACGGCGATCGCGGGGCCCCATGATTCCACTTCGGCCTAGACGACGGGCGGCGATGAGGCGACGACTGTGCTGCGACGACGAGCGGGCAGCCGCCAGACCGCCAACCATGCCCGTGCACGACAGGCTGCGACGAGCGGGCGACGGCGAGCACGGGGCCGCCAAGTCGCCACCCAGGCCCACGCGTAATAACCCAAAAGTGCCAACACTCTTTGAAGGAGAAGTGCAGTGCGATTTGGAGAATCAGCGCTCTGCGCTTTAAGGTTGACGGGTCTTGCTCCACCTGCCACCCCCTGCCCGTGCTACCACTATCACTGCTACGACTACTACAACACAAACGATTCCAACCTGAACCATTGTTACGACAGATTTTGCGCTTGCTATGTCGATTATTTCTGCTAGTACTAATTTTACTGTTACTACGAGCTGTACTACGACTACTACCACCAACACCACCACCATCACTACTACTACTACTACTGCTACTACTACTACTACCACTACTTGTACTACTACTACTACCACTACTACTACTACTACTACTTCTACTACTACTTTTACTGCGACTACTACTGCTACTACTACTACTACTACTACTACCACTACCACTACTACTACGACTACTACTGCCAGTACTACCGCCACTATTAGTGCTACTACCTCGACTACTTGTACGACTGCTACTACTACTACTACTACTACTACAACTACTACTACTACTATTACTACTACTACTATTACTACTACTACTACTACTACTACTACTACTACTACCGCTACTACTACTACTACTACTACTACTACTACTACTACGACTACTATTACTTCCACTTCAAATGCTACCACAACTGCAACTACTATTACTACTACTACTACGACGACGACGACTGCAATTACTACTATCACTACTACTACTACTACTACTACTACTACTACTACTACTACGGCTACTGCTACTACTAGTACGACTACTACTACTGTTGCTACTACTACTACTATTACTACTATTGCTACTACTACCAGTATTACTACTACTACTACTACTACTACCACTACTACGACTATTACTACTACTACTACTACTACTACTACTACGGGGACGACGACTACTACGACTACTACTACTACTACTCGCACAACCACTGGTACATCTATTGCTACTAGTGGACTACTAGTTCTAGTATTACTTCCACTACTACTACTACTACTACCACTACTACTACTACTACTACTACTACTACTACTACTACTACTACTACCATTACTACTACCACTGCTACTACCACTACTACTACGTCTACCTCCCGCAGTACCATTACTACCACTGCCCGTGTAGACCGCTACTACTACTACTACTACAACTACTACTACTACTGCTACTGCTACAACTACTACTATTGCTACTACTACTACTACTACTACTACTACGACGACGACTACCACTACTACCATGACTTCCACCATTATTATTTCGACCACCACTGCTACTACCACTACGACTACTACTACCTCTACTACTACTACTACTACTACTACTACTACTACTACTACTACTACTACTATTTCTGTCACTACTAGTGCTAGTACTACTAGTACTACTACTACTACTACTACTACTGGTACTCATCCGGCTACTACTAGTAGTAACAGCAGCGACAACACCGTCTACGACTACAACTGCTACGATTAGCTTACTACTACTACGACCACTACTACTACTATTACTACTACTACTACTACTACTACTACTACTACCAGTACTACTACTAGTAGTACTACTACTACTAGTACTACCACTTCTACTATTTTTACTCGTACTACTATTACTCCGACTACTACTACGACTACTACTACTACCACTACTACTACTACTCTTACTACTATTACTACTACTACTACTACTACTACTACTACTACTATTAATACGATACTGCGACTACGACTAATACTGCTATTTCGACTACTCCTACCACGACGAAGTCGCCAGTCGTATTACCACTGCGACTACTACGGGCTCGAATTTTGCAATTATTTCTCTTACTAGTATTAGTCATACCAACACCATCCGACTACTACTACCACCTATTACTCATACTTTCATTACTACTTCTACTCCCACCACCACTAGTCATACCACTACAACTACTGGCACCACTGCTGATCGTACTACCACACACAGGAGCAATCATAGTGTCATTGTCACCTTTGCTGCTCCTGCTACTACTAGTACTATTCGTGGCACAAGTATGCGTACGAATAGTAGTTGTAGTAGTAGCAGTAGCAGTAGCAGTAGCAGTAGTAGTAGTAGCAGCAGTGATAGTCGTAGTAGTCGTAGTAGTAGTAGTAGTAGTAGTTTTGATACCACGACGACTACCACTACTACAATTACTAGTACTACTTCGTCTACGGCCACTACTACTACTATCATCACTAGTCGTTTTAGAGTTATTTTTTACTTCGGCACATAAAACAACAACAACAACAACTACTACTACTACTACTACCACTACCACTACCACTACCACTACTACTATCATTACTACTTCCATTGCAATTTCTACTACTACTGACACTGCCACTGTTAATTCTACTACTACTACTACTACTACTACTACTACTTCCTTCTACTACTACTACTACTACTACTACTACTACTACTACTACAACTACTACTTCAACTACTACCACTACTACTGCTGCTTTTACTACTACTACTACTACTACTACTACTACCACTACTACTACTACAACTACTACTATTACTTCTTCTACTACTACCACTACTAATACTACGACTACGACTACTACTACTACTACTGCTACTACTACTACTACTACTACTACTACTGCTACTACTACTATTTCTTCCCGGCAGTCTGGCGACTCCATTGTCATTTTTCCGGGAACTTGTGCGGCCTCCTTAAGGGCAATGATCTTGTCTCTCGGTTTTTATACATAATATGAGCTTGGTATTCCGGCCACTTCTCAATTCCCCAGCCGACGCTCTTTGTCGAGTGCGTCGCGGATTCTGACGCTCCAGTGATCGCGGGATGTTAGCAGCGGAAGCTCGCGTCAAGCTTCAGATTCGGTGCCGTCCTCTTCATGATGGCCCCGTCCGGCCAACCCGAGTACCCCGAACCCGCGTCGGACGTCTCCGCGATCCTGAGAAGGAGGGGGAGCTTCTCAGAAGGCAGGGGCCCTTTTTGAAGCCCTCCTGTCCTCTAGGGAGGCTCCTAAGAAGCCTCGAGGCCCTGCGAAGGAGACCCCTGCCTTCTGAGTTGCCCCCCCCCGCCGTCTTCGAATAGCGTTCTCCTCGCGACGCCCCCTTGTTCGCGCCTCCAAGTCTGCTCGGCGTGATGTCGCCCTCAGCAGGTCCTGCATCAGGAGGGGAGAAGACACAGACACAAGTGATCGCCGATCCCTAGGAAAATATGGGGAAATATGGGAAGTGGGGGGAAGAAGAAACAATAGCCAAGCGAAAGACCCAACCATATGCAGTTGTGGGTGCCGCAGATGTAAGTATCGCCTCGGATGGCGTTCCTTGAGGGACCATGCATCGTGTGAGGGGGGTGCCGAAATACTAGGGCGGGGGCGGCGGCGGCGGCGACCGCGACCGCGAGCCTGGGTCGCGCAACGCGTGAGAAGTGTGCCGAACTGAGCGGCGGGGACGCATGCAAACTGTGCCACTGGATCTTAGGTGGAGCTCCCTATGGGGCCACGGAGCGTGAGAGGGGGGTGCCGACATGGGTGGCGCGGGCGCATGTGGGCACCGCCACTGGAACCGTCGGTGGATGTCAACCGTTCCCCAATCGGTTGCGCCATGGGTCGTGCCCTTCGCGACTGAAGACGAAACCGTGGCGTAATGGGCGCGTCCTGTCAGTTCAGTCCAGTTTCTTCGCGAGAAACAAATTCGGGCTACGCCCGAAAATGGATGTGGGAGGAGGAGGAGGACGAGGAGTAAGAGGAGGAGAAGGACGAGGAGGAGGAGGAGGAGGAGGAGGGTCTATCCTCCGAGTCGACAGCGTTGTTTTGTCAGACGATGCAAAGGGTGATCGCGTGGTAACCACAATTAATCGATTCTACAAATGCCAGTTTCAAAAAAGGGTTCAGCCAGCGCTAAAAGGAACAAGCTAATGACGAGGAGGTCCACGAACAAAAGGGAGGAACGAAGAGAAGGAGGAGGGAGAGGATAACCAACTGAGCGCAATGACGACGACCCGTTTCGACTTTGCCAGCACTTGCCCAGTTCGAGCTTGTTATGGGATCAGTATTCCTTTCTTCTCTTTCTCTTTCTCCCCCTTTCTCTCTATCTCTCCCCTTCTCTCTTTCTATGTATCATTATCTCTCTATTTGTTGTTGTTCCTCTCTCTCTCTGTCTCTCTCTCTCTCTCTCTCACCTCTCTCTCTCTCTCTCTCGGCAGAGTGCCATCCATCGGGTCCTGGCGGGTTCAACTTGTGCTCATCGGTCTCCGATGGAGGAATGGGTTGTTGGTAATGTGTGTGACGTTCGCCGTTGTGTCATTGATTTCGGCGATCAAACACATGGCCGAATTGCGATTATGATTGTGGTTGCAATGTGTTTGACCCACGCCGCTAGTGCAGTTCATCTTGGCCCGCAACTTACCACGCGTGTTTGCGTAGTGAACATTATGGCATTCGCGTTTATATATTGACGATCGTGAATGGCCTTCTGTGTGTTTGGCTCAGACCTATTGCGAGATCAGTTGGAATGATTGCTGCAAGGAGAAGTACATGTTACAGCTGATGATAGATGGGCTGCTTAGTTTCGCAGCTCTCGGGCGCACACATCGTAGGCGACGGCTTTTGTTGTCGCTTGTGCTTGAGGGATGGCCGGTCTCGTGTTGTATTGTCATTGTGAACAGTGCGCAGTCCAGATTCAACGGGACACGTTGCAAGGTGCGGTTTCATTCCCCATGTGTTTGCGGCACCCCTCAACCATGCAAGCTTTTTGTCATTGTGCGGGGACATGTCGAGAGTCGTCGCTAAGGCCTTCGTATGTGGCAACTCTCGTGCCCAGGCTCCAGATGGCTGCAACATGTGACGTGATCCTCCTGCTGCATGAGAAGGCAGTGTAGTGGCTTTGTGCCCAATGAGCCTCAATATGCGCCACCGCTGTTTCTTCGGATCCTAGAGGGTCGTAACATGTATTGTAACAGATCATCTTTCACAGTGGAGGGAAGGGCACAAGGTGCGACAGATGTCTCAGCGGCCCAGAGGGCGGTAACGCGTAACATTGGATGGTTGTGGTCTCGCAGGCGCCTGATGGTGGGCCCTATGGGATTTTTCTGTCAATATCTAAAGTCAGCTAAGGGTACGTATTTGGGCTATATGATAAGAGCCTCTTGCGGCTTTCTGTTCGGGCCCCAGGGTAGTCTTCAATGGTTTTGGTATCATTGGGCTTGTCTTTGGGCGGTCTTGGGCTGTGTTTCGGGACCACCGTGAGGTATGATTGCGCTGTATTGGGGCCGTTGGTCGCCTCTTGGGGGCCGCCTGCGGGAGTTCAGAGAGTATGTGTATGTTGGATAGACTTGCTACGTCTTGGGACGAAAAGGTGGCAGAAAACAGCGCATTCAAGTTTTGTTTCAATGCTGTGTTTTTGTTCGTGGGTATCCAGAAGGTCCTCTTTGAGGCCCCTCGGAGTGCTTAGCAGCCTTCCTGACCTATTCTGGAAGCCGTCTGGGCCATCGAGACTGCCAGAGGGGCGCCGGAACGCCCAGGGAGCTTGGGGTGCAAGAAGAGCAGGGGGGTATGTGAAAATTGCAAAAACCGGGCCAGATGCGCAGGACCTGCCGCCGCTTCAAGATGTGCGAGGGGGCCCGGTGTGGGTTCCTGTAGTGAGGTGCCCGCGCCAGTTCACGGAATAGCCGGGTGCCTGCTGTAGATCCGCCACCGAACCTTCCTGACCTTTCGAGCGCCGCGCAGAAGGCCGCGACGTCTGAAATTTCTCGTCTCCACGAGATTTTTCTTTGATGGGCTCCAGGGATAGCGCGCGTTGGTCACCCCTGACCCCCCGCTCTTTGGGGATCCTCATGAGGAGGAAGAGGAGGAGGAGGGGCGGTGGAGGAGGAGGAGGAGGAGGAGGAGGTGAGGTGGAGGAGGAGGAGGAGGAGGAGGAGGAGGAGGAGGACGGCGACGACGACGACCGACGTGGCCCGGAGGTTTCCGAAGATCGTCATCGTCGTCGGCGTCGCAGGCACTGTGGTGTACGACCACGGTGTGGTGCACACGGCTGCTGTGATGTGCGCAGGCGCAGAGGTGTACAAAAACCCTCCAGTGAACGCAGGTATTGTGGTGTGCAATGGCGCTGTTGCGCACGCGGGTGCTGAGGTGCACAGAGGCGCTATGGTGCACACAGGCACTGTGGTGCCATGGTGCACGCAGGTGATAGGGTGAGCAGAGGCACTGTGGTGTACACAGGTGCTCTGGTGCACGCAGGTTTTTTTCGTAAATGCACCGAGTGTGGTGCACATAGGCGGTTCTTGTGCTGGTGCTGCGGGCGCGTCGTCGGGGGTGCACGCTGGCCGCCGTTACCGTTACCCCCCCCTCCCGCGGGCCCCCCCCCCGGTAACAGGCGCCACCCCTCCCAATGGATTGAGGAGCTCTCGTGGGGCTCACTTGAATGGCCGTCTTGGGCTCCTGTCGGGCAGTCGTGGGGGTTTCTTGGGACCCTCTTCTCTCGTCCTGAAGCCCCCTTGGGGCGTCTCGCGGCTTTTTGGGTTGCCTTTAGGCAACGTTGGCTGTCTTGGAGGTCTCTTGGGGATTTCTTGTGCTGTCGTGGGTTCCTTTGGAAGTCGCCTTGGGCCAGCTTGCGGCTCTCTTGAGACCGCCTAGGGGTGCCGTCCTGGGATTCTCAATGGGTCCTTTCCGGCCTTCGAAAGCGCAAGTGTAGCGGTATGCGACCGCAGAGCGTGGAAAACACAGAAACGAGGCCCTCCCGGAGAGCGTCTTGTGGGTGCTTTGTCTTTGAGCCTCTTGCAGATCTCATGGCACCCAATGTGCGCTTCTTGGAGCTGCTGGGGAAATGTTGAGCCATCTTGGCGGCCCTGCTGGCCTTCGACACATGGAGTCTCAGAATGGGGGATTCACGCAGAATTGCGTGACCAAGGAGGGCTTTTAGAAGCCTTACAGGACACCTACCCGACTGCCAGACTGCGCTGAGTATTGTACCGCGCCTCATCGTGCCAGGGGGTACGGTTGTGGATGATGAGCACCCGCTTCTATTCCTGGTGCCTGTTCTTTCGTTTCGGTGCATCTGCGAATTGCGAAATGGGTCTGGGTCAGATTGGTCCACTTCTTGGACCACATCATCTGTAAAACTGTATGTAGTGGAACGCCCGTACTGCCACGGGGGGATTCTGGGAAGCCTTTGGGGCCTTCAGGGGTTCTCGGAGGGGGCATCTCCGGAGGTCCAGGGAATCTTGGGGTCCCCCCTCCTATTCCTCCTCCTCTTCCTCCTACTCCTCCTCCTCCTGCCGTGCCAATGCCCCCAGCGCCAGGCCTCTCCCCTGGCGCGTCCGCGGATGCCCCTGGCCTCGCCTGGAGCTGCTGATGCGATTCATGTTGACAGCGCACGTGCCGCCTTCCTGTGCGGCCTCGCTGTCCCGAGCTGCCCGTCGCCGTGCCAGGGCGCGGTGCACGGCGGCGCGCCATGCGCAGGCAGCGGCTGGCGCCATCGTCGCCCTGCTGCAGCCACGGGACCCGGACACGCCGGTTGTGGACAGGGCTCCACGCATGGACGCGCTGGAGACGCTCACCAGCCTCTCCGCGGCCGCAGGGGCCAACTTGGCTGCGCAACGGATCCGCACCGCCGTCACGGTGCGCACGCCCCTTCGTAGCCAGGCTGCTGTAGACTACCCTGCTGGTCCTCTCGCCTCGCTTGACATTGACGGATCCGACGACTTTGCCTCGCGCTTGTCGGGCAGTGGCGTTGTTACGGGTCGTGGGGGTGTTGTCCCTGGAGCCGCGATTCTGGGTACTACTCACGCTGGCCGTGCTGCTGCTGTCCCACGTCGTGGCTTTCTTGAGGACCATCGCCGTGAAGTGCGTGACGGAGTCCGTGATGTCTTTCTTCTTGGAGGTGCAGCTGATGATTCTCAGGCCGTTCATCGATGCGACGAAGTGTGCCCACAACATGGTCGTGGTGCTCGTGTCGGCGCCGTTCATGGACCCCCTGATGGCGCTCCTCCTCGCCCAGTTCCTGGGCCGCGTGGGCGAGTTTTTGGCCCGCGACCTTGGCATGGCGTTCCTCGGCCACTCCCTGGACCTCCTGGGCGCGTCTTCTAGGTTGGGCCTCAATACGCTGTTCGAGATGCCGTCCCTCGTCGAGTCCCTGGGCCTCGCGGGCGTCTCTTTCGTGCTCGGCCGTGGAACGGTGCTCTTCGCCCGCTCGTCGGACCTCGAGGGCGCGCATTCAAGGCTGGGCCACCACTCAATGGCACCAAATTGGCACGAGAGGGTCTCGAGGTACTCAGCGGCGCTACTGCTTCCCACGTCGAGGCCTATAGAACTGCTCTCGCTCATGGCGCGGCGCCGGAGACCACAAGCGGCGACAACCTCTTCAGTGACATGGCGTACAAGTGGGCGTTGTGCGGTGAAGGCCTGCTGGATATTCTCTGCCGCCCTAAGCCTAGTAAGGCGGACGATGATGCGCCGACGAGTGCTGAGCCGCCTTGGACAGATGCCTAGGCGCTGCCTCAGATGACGTCAGGTGCTCGCTTCGTCGTGACCTTTGGCCCCAGCGACCAGGGAACGGCTTCGGTGGGCTCCCCTCGCCTGGAGGGGGGCACAGCCTGGCGGATGGCGCGAGCTGTGCCGTCCCAGGTGATGCCGCACACTGGGTCCACGGGCAGGAATCTAGAGGGAGTGGTTTCGGTGGTCCTCCTGCGTTTTGCGGGAGGCACGGCCTGGAGGATAGCACGAGCTGTGCTGCCCCAGGTGACGCCGCATTCCTCTGCTCCCAGGGAGTGGCTACGGTGGACTCCCCTCGCGTTGAGGGGGGCACAGCCTGGAGGATAGCGCATAGCACTGTCCCAGGTGATGCCGCATACCTGTCTGGAGCTCTGGGCTGACGCTTTCCTGCGTGCCTTCGCTTAGGCCGCGACGTGAGAGAGGCGCACCATCCTGAGTGCACCCCGCGTCGGCACCTTCGGCCTTGTCACTGCTATCTTCTGTCTGTGCAGCTGGTACCCGAGATCCTTTAGGTGGGGTCCCAGCTTTTCCGCGGGCCAGCCAGGCTGCTAGCAGCTTGGCGCCTCAGGAGGGCGTTCGTGCACCGCGCGACGCTTCCCATGGCAGTGCCGTATACTCCTCCTCTCCGTCCTCTTCCTCCTCCTCCTCCTCCTCCTCCACCTCCCCCTCCTCGCCCTCCCCTCCTCGGGTTGCCTACGGCCCCGGGGGAAGCCGTCCACAACTGGGGCCCATTTCCTTGGCAACCTCATAAATCTGGGCATGAAGGGGAGCGGGTCACAATTTTCCTAGGCCCTTCATTTTTCACCCACCCCCCAGGCCAGCCATGAAAACTGCCTTTTGCCTAGACCCCACTGGGACCTTCCAAGACAGCTCAAATCAGACCCCCCAAATCAGACCACCGCCCTTATGTTGTGAAATCTGGAGTAGGTGGGACGCCCCAAGAGCAAACAGAGTCCGATGAAGAAGTTGTAAGGAAACCTCGAGCGAGATCGCGATTCCTGAAAGGCGAGGGCGCGATCCCTGGATAATTTGTATGGAATTTCCAGGCGAGAGCCAGAGCGCGAGTCCTGCATACATTCCTGACGCGCCGCGTATCCCTGCCAGCCCGTGAGCCATGATCCGATTGTCTTAGTTTGCTTTCGAAGAAGGAGAATGCGGAGGATAAGCTGGAGAGGGAGGGGGGGAGGGAGGGAGGAGGAGAAAGAGGGAGGTGTGAGGAGGAGCAAGAGGAGGAGGAGGAGGAGGAGGAGGAGGAGGAGGAAGAGGATGAGGAGGGGGACGAGGGAGGAAGGAGGAAAGGGCGGCGACAACGATGCTGTCTAGGAGGAGGAGGAGGAGGACGACGACGATAACGAGGGAAGGAGCCAACTATGAAGATCTCCCTCGATTTTTCGCCCTGGGAGCCTGTTGGAGCCGTTTTGGAGTCTTCTTGGGGCCATGTTGGTTGCATGTGGGCCCCTCCTGGGGCCGTCTTGGGGCATTGGCGGCCCTCTTGGGGCCATCTTCGAGGATATCGATCAAAGAAAGGAACATTATCATTTAGCATTTCCCCGCCTGGGCCCGAAATCCGTGTCGCCCATTTGGGCCTTCCTGGGGTATTCTTGGGGCCGTCTTGGACCTCTGCAGGACTCCTCTTGGGATTCAGTTTGGGCACTCATTGGCCGTCTTAGGGTCGTCTTACACGCCTCTCGGCCATCACGAGGTCCTCTTGGGCCGTCTTAAGACCCGCATTGAAGCCTCTTGAGCTGACGGAAGCCCGAAAAAAGGCGATACTACAAACATTTGTCGAAATTATACGGGGACGAAGTCAAATAATTTTGGTATCTTCCAACCATATAAGGGATCTTCTTGCGGCCCTTTTGGAAACATCTTGGGTCACCATGAGGCGATCGTTGGCCGTCTTGCAGGCATACTAGATATTATTGGTAGCTTTTGTTGCCCGTCTGAGCTGTCTTGGAAGCTCTGGCGTGCTGGCCAATTGCTTTTACCAAGGATCGTCACCTCGGATGCGCGGATCCATGCCTATATGTCCATAAATATATACACAACATGTACGTCTGTCCATCTACACGCAAGAGTTCCTCGCTTCGGGAAGGGGGTTGGGCGTTGCACGCAGCAGTCTGCGACGAGTAGGGGCCGGGCCCCGTTGCAAACAATAGGACAGCAGCCCTACCAGTCGGCTGACAGCAATTCTACCACGCCTCGGCGTGCCAAGGGGCACGGCGGAGGATCTCATGAGAGCGATGCTTCACAAGGGTTCCAGGTGTTCTTGTCCTTCCGCGCGGACTCCAGAGACGAGGCCCGCTAGAGTTGTCGAGGACGATCAATGGAGAGGAAGCATGTTGCCAAATCATTTCCAGGCGTCTATTGTTAAAGCTGTTATGAGGATGTGAAAGGCATGTTTAAACATTTCCAGCACATTCTTCCGACATATTAAACACATCTTTAATTCGACGATAGGACTGTTAGGGTGCCCATTGCTGTGACTCCACAACGCTAGAGTGTTCAGAGTTCTTTGAACGTGCCTTGGTCCAGTCGCATCTTGACATCGTGTTCGTTCTAGTTTGGGAACTCGTGAGCGTGGGGCTCCGTATTTCGAACCCAGTGCACATGGAGGCTCGTATGCGTAAGACCTCATGGCGATAATGACACGACCCCGTCCACCAGGACAAGCTCTACAGCGCATGTAATATTGTTCTGCTGTTTAAGAAAACGCGTTATCATTGTTATCAATGGTTATGGTCTTCCGAAGACATCCTTGGGAGGCTGGGCGGCTCCTCTCTTGGGGCTCCTTGGGGGCCTTCATGCTGGGAGGTGTCTGTGCAGTCTGTTCTGAGTAATCTTGGGCATTCCAACTGGTCGCAGCCCGTCCCCCCCCCCCCAGTCCAGACACCACCCGAGCGAAGTGAACCACGCCCCCCCCCCTTGAAAGGAATGAGGGGGGGGTAGGGCTCGCACGTGGCCTCCTGCTCCTGCGCCGCGAGGCAACGCAGAGCGCCCGGGGCCGTCGCTGCACCTGCACATCGGGCCGTCCCTCGGCAAGTCGTGTGCCCAGGCACCGCCGTGCGGCCCCCCCTTGGGCGGGGCACACGGCCAGTCCCGACGGCGGCAACCGCGGCGGCGGCGGCGGCGCGCGCCGTCGGATGCAGTCGGTCGGGCGATGGAGCACCCAGAGTCCGGCGCCGTGGGGGGGTCTCGACGGGAGAGTGTCAAGATAACTGAGAGAACGCCGCAAGCACAAACTTTTGGCGCTCCGCGCAGGTTTCCCGCGCCGAGCCCCCCCCCCGCGGCGCCTCCGGCGCCGCCCCTAGCACGCTCCGCGCGCCAGGGAGGGGGGTCCAGCGCAGATCAAAGAAATCCGCGCGGACCGTCGAAAGTTTGTGTTTATGCAGTTTCTTCTTCTTGTTCTTCTTCTTCCAGTGGGCGAGTCTCGACAGGAGAGTGCTTGAAAATTGGAGTATGTGCATTACCAGTGGCTGGCTGCGTGTTTAATCCCAGATTGTGTTGAGGGTCAGGGACGACGGGGTGGTGTGGTGTAGATTTTTGTTTGATCCCTTTCCTGGGGAAGCACCGAAACATGTATACACCAGGATCCCGTATACGCACCAGGATCCGCTGCCCTGCTTGCAGATTTCAGTGCAGGGCTGGAAAAAGGCGCCGGTGTGTAGAGTTCGGTTCCCTTCGCCCAGAATCAAGGGAGGAAAATCCACCCGGACCCGACAATTGGCGGTTACTAAACGGCCCTGGGCGTTTACTAAACAGCCCTGCCCTGTTCGATTCTTTCTTTGGGTGCGTTTACCGAACGGCTTCGCGTGTGGGGGTGGTCATTATCGGGGTGGATTTTCCGCCCTCTACAGAAGGAAATGGGGTCCGGACGAAGAGCTCGTCCTGGAGAGCTTGTGCGCCTCTTGCGGAGCGTCGTGGGCCCTCCCCGGACCCCGAGGCCGTTGGAGGATCGACGCGGGGCGAGAAACGCCGGGTCGAGGGGCTGGCCCGAGCGTGCAGGGCCCGGTTCGTTTCGGAGCCCGTTGGTGCTATGCTTGAGTCGGGCACGTCCCTCTACAAGGGGAAAATTCCAAAATACTTACAAAAATAGTCAGGGGACGATTTTTTGACTGTTTTTGATCATCTTCTATAATTTTGGGGGCATTTTTGGTTTTTCATCGCGAAAATCTGCCTGTAGGGGGACATGCCCGACTTAATGGTATGTTCGGTTCCATCTTTGTCCCAGGCCGCGGGGCCCTCAAGGATTGAGCCAGCTCGGAGGCGCTGCAAAAGGATGGCTTCGAGGGCGTCGGCAGTGTGTGTGTGTGTGTGACTGAAACACGCACACACCAAAGTGCACACTCTAGAGAAAAAACATGTTCCGCAACTTCTGTTGTACGACTTGACATCTCGGAGAGGGGGCGTTCAAAGTCTCGGCCTGACCAGCTCCATTTCACCCACGTAAATGTCACCCACGTAAATGGCGACGAGGATTGTGGCGTGGAAGGACCATAACGCAGGACAACCGATGCTGCACAAGAGCTGCGACGCGACGAATGCCTTCGGCTGTGGGGATGAGGACCAGATCGAGGAGGGCGCCCGCGCCCGTCTGGAAACCGCAGCCGACGAGCTTGAGGAGGACGTGGAGTACGTGACGACTATCTCCAGGCTCAGGCGGCAGTCGCTCACCGTGATTGTGCCAGGCGCGGACGCGGAGGTGGCGATCAACAGCGGCACGTGGGGGTTCATGGGCGATACCTCCGAGCCCGAGTTTTTCATGCTCAACTACCACATAGCAGTCCAGAAGTGTGCCCTCGTGGACCAGGCGGCGACGGCGAAGGCGATGCTGATAGACTTCGACGACCGCCTGCCCACATCGACGCGAGCCTGGATGGCTTCATGGACGACATCTTCAAGACACAGCTGGTGCCGACCAGCATCCGCACGGCCAAAAACGTGGTGATCTTCTCACAGAGGAACGATACAGGCTTGGACCAGGCGCTGGCAGCGAGGAAGTACGACCATAACATATCGAAGCAGGACGTGGTCGTTTTCATGGGCTCTCTGCAGCTGGTGCGACAAACCATCCAGGCCGTCCCCCGCAGCGGATGCAGGATCGGGCACAAGCTGAAGCACCTGGGCGGATGGTTCAACGCGGTGAATTCGAATGCGACCGAGCTGGCCTCGCGGCTGGCTGCCATCATCAAGGGCTGGATGATGGTGCAGGGCTTTTGGTATGCTGCCGCCCCCAGGCGCGTCAAGCGCCTCATGTTCATTAGCCTGGTCTCGGGGGCGGCTCCGCTGGGCACTACAGCGCACTGTTGGACGGACATAGAGGCTCGACCGATATGCAGGTCAATTTCGAGGAAGTTGAGATCGATGATGGGCGGGGCGGCCAGCCAGCATAACGACCACGTGACGGTGATGACGACGAGGGAGGTCTGGGGGGTCTCGGGGGCGGCTCCGCTGGGCACTACAGCGCACTGTTGGACGGACATAGAGGCTCGACCGATATGCAGTTCAATTTCGAGGAAGTTGAGATCGATGATGGGCGGGGCGGCCAGCCAGCATAACGACCACGTGACGGTGTTGACGACGAGGGAGGTCTGGGGCCTCGTCCCGTTTAGTCCGGGAGCAACAGTGCAGCGCCTCCGCGTGTGGCAGGAGATTGCGCGCCATCCGCGGAACCACGGCCACATCCTGGGGGGCTTCTTCGGCGAGATGAAGTGGGAGGTGACCCGCGAATGCCGCTGCCCACCAACGTTTGTGGAATCCGGGCAGTTCAATTCAGATGCTGTTGCTCATCCTTGGGTGCGTCAGCTGCGACGCGACCTGGGAGTCCTGCGCGGCTACCCCGAGGCGGAGTTCTTTTCGCTTGCATGGGGGCGCCGTTCGCTGAAGGACTTGCTTTGGGACGAGGAGGTGAAAGGCCCCTCTGTCTCCCTTGATGCAAGGTGCCTGCGGAGCGCCTTCGCTACTGCGCCGTGGCCACCGCCAGGCGCATTGGCGGCGTCAATACCCACAGCCCAGGATCGGGAAAACAGCTGGGGAGATTCGGGATCTCAGAAGTTCACATGTCAGATCCGAGGAGACCCTGAAGGCCCCATCTTTGGATGTGTATTCAAAACGCGTGCATCACTAGTAGCACATGCATGCTTATCGCGACGAGCAGGACACGGAGGACACAGTATATTTCACGCATTCACACAGCAATGCATGCATCAAGTGGGGCACGACATTCCAGGCGAAGACGGAGACGGCGCGGCATCTTGCACGCGCGCGGCACGCAGGGCGATGCATCATGCATAACACGGCGTACCCCTACGAGTTCAAAGACACGAACATTCGCGAGTGTGTGCTATGTGGTGTAGAGCTTCCCTCGCGCGAGCTGCTCCGCTGTCATCCATGCTCTCACCTGCCGCCGACGCAGGAGGGGCGTCCCGCGTCGATAGTGGTGCCTCGGCCAGCCACTGTAGAGCCTCGCCCAAGGCGCCGCCTGTCACAACCGCTGGGTGCAGATCGCCTGAGGGGATCTGACATCCGCACTGCTGTTGGCCTGTTCGCCCCCGCTGCAGGGGCCGCGACGCACTCCTCGTCGGCGACGGCAGCAGCGGGCGCCGGCAGTCATGGGGGCCGAGAAGCTCGGCCGCTGGCTGCCGCGGGCGGGTGGCTCATCGAGCAGCTCACGGAGTGGCGGGGCGCGGCCCAGGCCCGGCGGCGAGGAGGACAACGGCCGCAAGAACCAGAAGGACGGCCAGGGCGTTCCCTTGGCCAGTGGAGTAGCGGGAGAGGGGGGCCCCGCGGTGAAGCCGAGGACTCGGCAAGGCGGACGACGCCGCGCGGAGGCCACGGAAGCTGGCGGTCCAGGGCCCAGGCCTCGAGGAGTTCCTCCTCCACCTCTCGATGCTCGCGTCGCAGCTGGCGCAGCGGCCCGGAGCAACGCGGGGGATCACTACGAGAACGACGCTACTGGAGGAGAAGTCACCTGCGATCAAGGCGACGCAGACCGAGAGCCAGGACTTCCCCCAGGTGGCCAACAACGCGCGCGCGCGGAGGTAAGCAAGCTAAAGGAAAAGGCAAGAGCAGCAAAGGACGCGAACGCGGCCGCACCCCGCGAGGCAGACGCAGATGCGGAGAAGGTGATGCAACAGCTGAGGAGCCCGGGCCCACCGACGCCCGCGGAGTTCTGCGCCACGATCGAGGCGCTCTCGAAGAAGGGGATCGGCAGGAGGCTCAAAGATGTGATGACGGCACTGATGTCCGAGATGCAGGACGGCCCCCCCGCCTTCGCGCGCCTGTGCCGCCTGGAGAGCTGCGAGCAGACGGACACGTTGAAGGTGGTCTTCGCGCTGGACCGAGTGGATCTCGAGATTCAGGTGATGGAGGCCTTCCGCTGGATGGGAGCGGTGACGACGGTGTGAGCTGCGCCGAGTGGCTACCTGGAGGACGAGATATTAGACAGCTTCGCTGACCTGCCCGCGCTGTGGCCAGAGGCGGAGGAGGATGTAGCTCAGGCTTGGAGGGCGCGGGCACCGCGCCGCGGCCATTGAGCTACGGCTGTGCGGCCTCGCGCACCTGGCAGAAGTTTCGCACCAAGGTGCGGACAGCGGACGCACGAATCGATTGACCCCGCTCCTCTTCGCCTCCCTCCTCGCCCGTCGTCGGTCGCGGCCCTCTGCCCGTCGCTCGCCTCGCTTCCTTTTCGGCCCCCATCGCTCGGCCCTTCGGCCCGCTCGGTCCGTCGTTTACGCGCATGCCGCTTGTAAAGACAGCAATTAATACGAGCGTAGCAGTCTTTCGATTCATCGCCCCACAGCCGAGAGCAAGCAAGCAAACCCCTTTTCCTCCTCCTCCTCCTCCTCCTCCTCCTCCTCCTCCTCCTCCTCCTCCTCCTCCTCCTCCTCCCTCCTCCTCCTCCTCCTCCTCGGGTCGCTTACGGCCCTGGGGGAACCGTGCAGGCAGATCGGCCACGCGAGCCGGTTCGGGAGCCCCGCCCTGTGCTCACCCCCCCCCGCCCAGGTCGTCCGGCCCGAGTGCCGCGGCCCGTCCGACGGGTCGAGCGAATTCGAGGGCTGGGCGCGGCACCGGAAGGCGAACACATGAACGCGCGGTCGTTGGAGGCAGGTCGGGTATAGCCATGACCTCAGGTAACAGGACCCGTTTAGTAGTAGGGCCCCGGGGACCATAGATTGGCCAGAATCACTAAACCAGGTCTGCCGTAGCTGGTGTTTTTTCGTGCGACGGCAGTTCCGGCTGGGGCGGGAGGTGCGTCCCCCAGTACACATCGCTAAACCAGGTCCCACTAAACCCAGTTTTGCTAACGCCCGATTCTGGGATTCCCAGATTCCAAGCTACTTCTTTCAAGAGAAGAAACGCCATAAACATACACTTTCGGCGCTCCGCGCGAATTTCTTGGACCCGCGCTGGGCCCCCCATCGCGCTTGGATCAGCGCCAAAAGTTTGTTTTCGTGCCGTTGTTATTCTTCTATTCTAGCGGCATTTACTTCTGGGGTATAGAGGCGTTTTTTGGGAGGGCCTGAATTCAATTTTTTTTATCCGCCTTTCTGCTTCATGATGTTCCCTACTCCTTCCGACCGACAGGTAGGCCTCCCAGATGGGGTCCGAGCAGATGGGGTCGGAGGGTCGTGCCGCATCGGCTGCACCGCCGACGTCACCGATGCATCGCCGATGCGTCGGCCATGCATTGGCGGTGCATTGGTGATGCGTTCCGATCCTCCGACCCGATTTACAGTCACCCCATTTAGGAGATCCGCCCAGACGTTGGGCAGGGCTGTGGCAGGGCTCCCCTGGGCTGGTCTCGAGGCGGTCAGGCCGATTTCCCTTGGACAGGTCTCCCCAGGTTCTAGGTCGCTGCCGTTGCTGAGGACGGCGCAACGCACCCCCACCCCCGACAGGCCCCCTGGTGATCCAAGGGGTCCTGGCTGGGTGTGGGAATGATGTCCTGGCCCGCCCCGAGAAGCCCCCCCCACCGCCAGCAAGGGACACTCTGAATCACCAAGTCGGGAGTGGGGGTCCTGGCGGGATTGGGGGTGGTTTGTGCTACCCTCCTTTACAATGACGGGGAGGTCGGAGCCTGATCTTGGCTAGTGACGGGGAGGTCGTCGTCGTCGGCCTCGTCGTCGTCGGCTTCCTCGTCGTCGTCCTAGTCCTAGTCCTAGTCCCCGTCCTCGTTCTTGTCCTCGTGCTCGTTGCCGTCGTCGTCGCCGGTCGCCGTCGTCGTCGTCGGCCTCGTCGTCATCGTCGTCATCGTCGTCGTTGGCTCCGTCGGCCTTGACAGCCACGGGGGCCGCAGCAAGCGATTGGCCATCCCCTGGGGGGGCCGCTTCAGGCCGGCGCCGAGCGCGGCGGTGGCCGCGCGCTAGACGACGTGTTCTCGGTGCCCCAGGAGAGCATCGGGCCAGACGAATGGGCAGGGTCCTTCGGTAACAAATCATGGGAGCCTTGTGTACCCTCGCAGTTCTGTCTTTAGCGTCGACTGGCGTCAATTAGCGTCTGGGAGTTGACGAGATAGCGCCGATTCAGCGTCGGCTAGCGTCGATTAGTGTCGGTTCGCGAGAGCCACAGGATGGTGTGTGAGGCTCCCATGAGTTGCCACCGAAAATGGGTAGGATCCTCGACATGCTCGCTCCATGAAAAAATTCACAAGATAAGGTTGTTCGCTATCTTCGGCATCCGGGGGCCGTCACCAGGCCTCGGGACCGTCAAACAATTATTCTGGATGAAGCACCGGTCCCGAGGCATGGGTCGAGACCTTTGGGGGGCGACGCTATGGAAAAATCATGACGTCGGAGATCTGGGGTTACAGAAGGATAGTGAAAAGGGGGCTTGCGACATCTGCTACATGCAGGCGAAACCCCAATCTACTTCCGAGTGGGGGTCCAAGGTCCAAGTGGATGGTGTCGGAAAATCGCGCCGCATCGACGATGCATCGGCGATGCGGCTCGATGTGGAGCCCGATGTTCTCCACGATGGCGTCGCGGATGCATCGCCGATGTCGCCGATGCATCGCCGATGCATCGGCGATGTATCGCCGATGTATCGCCGATGCGGTGCGATCCTCCGGCCCCATCTATTCCGACCCCATTTACGAGACCTCTATCCCCTCCTGCCCCGTGGCCGCTTCCGCCTGCCTTTCTTGTTTTCTTGCCGGCTGTGAGTTCGCGCTTCCCGCTGCCTGGACCGCTCGAGCGCGCGTGCGGATTGCCTCCGCCGCGCTGCGGCGTAACAGGTGTGTTTGTGTGTTTCTGTGTGTGTGCTTGTGGAGTCTTGTCGCTGTGCCCACCTTGGCGCTTCTGCGGGCCTGTCCACTTTCTCACCTCTCGTGGCCCTTCCGCGTGCTCAGTCCTGTGACGCACGCGCGGCCCGTGTGTTCCAGCTTGCCCACGTGTGTGTGTGTGTGTGTGTGTGTAAGTGCGTAAGTGTGTAAGTGTGTAAGTGTGTGTGTTTGTGTGCTTTTGACGTATTTCTCGGCACGGCGATCGCCTCGTTCCACGGCGGGAGACATCTTGGAGGAGGGCAAAGAGGTGCCCCCCCCTTTTCCGGGGAGCCAACGAACGCGGCGACGCTTGCGCAGCTGGCAGTCATGAGGTCCAGCCTGGTTCAGGGGAGGAGACGCGCAAGCAGTACTCCTCACGCCCAGATTTGGGCCCCGACGCAGGAGGGCCAGGAACAGGCATCTGGAGTAGCATCGGGCGGGGAGGGTCCCCCCCCTTCGCTCGGACGGGGCTGCAGGACGAGGCTCAGAAGTCAGCGCCAGCGCGTCCCGCAGCACCTGTGGGAGCGGCTCGGAGCGTTTTGAGAAGGCCGCGGCACCCGAGACATCCTTCGAGGCCACCGTGTCTCAGACACGGCTGCGATTGGCGGTGTGGCCACCGCCTTCGAGTCGGGAGGGTTTTTTTTTTCCCATTTGGCACGCCGACGGGGGCCAGGACCAGTGCGGCGGCCAGCAGTCTCCTCCTCGGCTGCTGGTTGCTTTGCCGGGTCTTTCACCGATAATTCTACCCCGGAGTGGCCACGAGGCGGCTCCAAGGTGCAAGGTGGCATTCTCTTAACCCCTAACTGCTTTCTCGGCCTCCGGCCGAGGGCGTCAACGGCATAGGCACCGCGTCGCCATCAACCACAACAAGCCGCCGAAGCTCAGAGATTTCTGGACTCAAGAGACGGGGGTCAGTGCAACCGGGGGTCCAGTGAGAGCGCCAGATCTTGCAGGATTCTGCAGAGCCAGGGCCGCATTGGCCCGGGCTTGGCGCAGAAGCGTGCAGGATTCTGCAGGATCGTGCAAGGCCTGACTGACACGGGTCTGGACTGACCCAGGTCAGTAGATCCCCGAATATTCGATTCATCCATGCCCACGTTTTTGCTCGTCCTGGCTTCTGTTGCCCCCATTGTACTTAAGGACCACATCCCTGAAATCTTGTCGAGCACCCTGAAAGGTATCGAAACAGTGTCGAACGAGTATCGCCTCCCAGGGCCCGACACGTGACAACTCTCAAGTTTCGTGACTTCTTTGGTGCTCGACATGCTTTCTTGCGATTAGGGCTAAGGTGGGTTGGAACATCAGAAGTCATGGCTTCGTCTCAGCCCCGGGCCAGGAGCTGCAGCCGCCCGCCGCATGCGCGGCCTCCCTTGGAGGCGCAGGCCCGGGGTTCTGCGGCCTCTCCCTGCCTCCTGCTCTTTCGGGCGGCGAACTCTACACAGATCCACCTCGTCTTCCTCCTCCTCCTCCTCCTCCTCCTCCTCCTCCTCCTCCTCCTCCTCACTGCCTCCCTGCCTCCGCGCCGTGAGAGAAGAGGACCTTTGAGGGCATCTGGCCGTGGAGGCGCTGTTCGCATCTCCTGGGAGGGGCCCCCAGGGCCGTCGAGGCAGGCACATCAGCATCGTTCAACCGACTCCTATCCCCATCCCTACCCATCCCCACCCCCTATCCTACCCAGCGCCCCAGCGGGGGATATACCCCTCGAAACCCGAAGGGAAAAGCCCAAATCCCCATCTAAGGGTAGGCAAATCGGCCAATGGGGGCCAGGCCACGCCCATGGGGAGAAGGGGTCGTTTAAACGATGTTCAGTACAATCCAAGCGCATGGTAAGCATTAGCGGGTTTCCAAGGTTGCCATCACATCCTTCCCACTCGGCCCATCATTGGCAGCTTTCGCTGGCCAGCCCCGCTCGAAAATGTCTCAACATGGCCTTCCAAGGCCCTTGCATCCTTACCGCACATCCTTATTTCACGTTTTGACTGCGCCCCTAGTCGGCCCGGCCAAGGCCAGAGACATCGCTCCAGAGCGCTCCAGCAGACTCAGAGCGCTCCCGAGCGCTCTGGAAAGGCCGAGGCGCCCGACACAGAGATCAGAGATCTCCGATTTGTCGTGGTCCGATTTTCTCACAGGCTTGGCTCTAATTCTGAATGAAGCGGGCTCTGGAGGCTTTCCGCTTGGGGTGGCGCCCAGGTCCGTCAAAAACGATTGAGGACGAACAGTACAGCCAAGTTGCAATGATATGTCGATGAATGTTGGCCCCCGGGCCGTCAAAAGACAGCATGGGGATGAAACGCCAGTTCCGGGGCATGCGTCGAGAGCTTCTGCGGTCCTCGCCGGGTGGGCCCAGGACCGAAATTCGCTCTGGAGCGTTCTCGCGCGCTGTCGGAGCGTTTCAGAGCTCTTTGGGCTAGCCGCGGCTCCCAGAACATCCTCCAGGACCGCCAGCATTCCGGAGCTCTCTGGGCCGACCCGGGCGCCCCAAACAAGCGGGTCGATTGTCTCCTGGTCTTGACTTCGTCTTACCTCGCCAGGAAGGGAAAGAGGGATGCTGAGGGAAGCCAGGAGGACCGGGTCTGCACCTGGGGTGCGTAGTTTTCTGACTGTCCAGGGGACCGTGGGGTCCTTACCCCAGGTGCCCAGGGACGGCGGAAGACCTCCCAGGACCGGTTTTCGTCGGGGCCCGGTCTTCTCCACGCTGCCGTCGGCACGAGGGCCAAGAAGAGCAGCGCTCCCCTTGGAATGCCTTCAGCTTGGGGGTGTCTGGCGGGTGGGTCTCTGTAGAGTGAGCTGCAGCCAGGAATCACGAGGCGCCGTTCTCGGGGTGGTACCGCAGGGGGGTTTGGGTCCCTCTGCAGCATCCAGGAATCAGGAGGCGCCGCGTCCTCGGGCTGGGGCCACAGCGGGTGAGAATGAGGTGCGGGCCAGTCCGCGGGACGCGCCGAGCGAAGAATGAATGAAGAATGAGCGTGCGAAAATGAAATTGGGCTTGTCTGCAGGAAGGACTGGGCCGAGAAATCAGGAAACTGCTGTTCGGGACCAAGTCCTGATTTAAACCAAAGTTGATCCAGAACGTGTTCCCTCCATGAAATCAGAGCGTGAATTACCTACCCCGATTGCGCTTCCAGGCAAAACCAAGTCATACCACGCGCCTCCTCGTCAAGCGGCCTGACCAGTACAGGCCGTGGTTTGGCATCGCTCGGTATCTCTTGGAAGCGAGGGCGGTCCAAAGCGAGGTAGGCTTGTTTGCCCCGTGTGAAAGCGCACGCCGCACCTTCTGCGCAATTCGATTCGGTTCTCCACGGGCGCAGGACGGGCATTCCAGGAGCACACGGCCCTGGGAGGGGCCCCCTCCCCGCTTCTGCCCAGGGTGCAGCCATCGGCGTCACCCCAACATGTCTGTACTCTATTCAGGAGGAAAAGAAACACACAGACACAATTAATCCTCCATTCCCCAGAAAATATGGGAAAATATGGGAAGTGGGGGGGAAGACAGAAACCCAGAAAATATGAGAAAATATGGGGATGTGTTTTATTTGTGTGTCTTTATTTGTGTGTTCCAGTTCCCCTTCATCTATGTGCGCCGCCCCTTCCCAGGGGCGACGCGCCCCGAGGCAGACCTCACAGCCTGTGCGTCGTGGCGGGCGCGTTCTGGCCACACCGCTCTCGGGAGACGATGCACCACGCGATGGGTGTACTATATGTTCGGGTCGGACGCGCGCCTCCAAAGGGGGGCATGCACTATTGGTATCGGAGGTGGATAGACCTCCTACCCTGACACGTCGATTAGTGAATCGGCCGGTTTCGGTTCGCGGGAGGGCGTCGCGGCCGTCATCTTTGCGGGTCCAGGTTCGTTGGTTTCGGTCCCAGGCCGTTTTCACTAAGGGGAGGTTTACTGGAGGGAGGTGTGTCCACCGCCGATTGTGCGGCGTTGCTCCTGGTGGCGCGCGGCGGACGGCGTCTCCTTCCCGGCTGGGGCTCGTGTTCTCGCCCTGCGTTCTCTGGCCACGCTTCGACTCAACTCGGGGAGCCCACGGAGGATCCGTTGCTCAGGGGGGGGGAAGCACAGACATAAGATGAGTCGCCGACTCCCAGGGAGAGATGGGTGAGCATGGGAAGTGGGGGGGAAGGCGAAAGCTCGGAAAGTATTTGAACATGTGGTGAATCCTCGGATGTGTGTCTGCTTATGGGTGTGTGTCCCAGGGCCTCTGTAGTTGCGCGAGCCAGTCTCGTAGGGGCGTGTGGATATCATGGCCGCATGGCCCCCTCGACTTCCAACATGCCCCCTAGTCCCCCTCGTCTCTGCACATGCCTCTGGCCATGATGCGCTGACCCCACTCGTTCTGTCCCCCCTCTTTGGCGCACGGACCACCCTCCTTCAGGCCAGCTCTGGGGGCCAACGGGGGCTTTCCAGTGCCAGGGGGTCACCACAAGGGGGATCGAAGTTGAGGACCGTCGTCGTCGTCGTCGGACTCAGGCATGACGCTGGATGTGTTCTGTCTGTGCAGCTCTTGTCCAGGAACATTAGCCTGGCGAAGGACCCAACCATATGCAGTTGTGAGCACCGTCGTTGTATGCACCGCATACGGAGGAGCTCCCTATAGGGCCACGGAACGTGTGAGGGGTGTACCAAAATTTGCCCCGTGGGCGCATGCGAAAGCAGCCATTGGGGCCGTCGGTGAAATTCCCTATGAGGTCACGAAAACGCGTGAGGGGTATGCCGAAATTGGTGTGGTGGGCGCATGTGAACGCAGCCACTGGGGCCCTCGGTGGAGCTCCCTATGAGGCCACGAAGCGCGTGAGGGATGTGCCGAAACAGGTGTGGTGGGCGCATGCGAACGCAGCCACTGGCGCCTTCGGTGGAGCTCCCTCTGGGGCCACGAAACGCGTGAGGGGTGTGCCGGAATGGGCGTGGGTGACGCATGCGGGCGGTGGCACCAGGGCCGTCGCTGGAGCTTCCTAGGGGGTCACGAAACGTGTGAGGGGTGTCACGACATGGGTGTGGGTGACGCATGCGGGCGGTTTTGGCGCCTTCTGTGGAGCTCCCTATGGGGCCACGACGCGCGTGAGGGATGTGCCGAATTTGGTTTGGAGGACGCATGCGGGCGGTCCCACTGGAGCTCCCTATGGGGCCACAAAACGTGTGAGGGGTGTGCCAAATTGGGTTTGGGGAACTCCTGCGGGCGAACCCACTGGGGGCTCCTGTGGAGCTCCCTATAGGGCCACGAAACGTGTTAAGGGTGTGCCAAATTGGGTTTGGGGGACGCATGCGGGCGGTCCCGCTGGAGGCTTCGGTGGAGCTCTCTATAGGGCCACGAGACGTGTGAGGTGTGTGCCAAATTGGGTTTGGGGGGCGCATGCTGGCGGTCCCACTGGGGCTTCGTTGGAGCTCCCTATATGGCCACGAAACGTGTGAGGGGTGTGACGACATGGGTGTGGGTGACGCATGCGGGCGGTTTATACTGGCGTCTTCTGTGGAGCTCCCTATGGGGCCACGAAACGCGTGAGGGATGTGCCAAATTTGTGAGACGCATGCGGGCGGTCCCATTTGGGGCTTCGGTGGAGCTCCCTATGGGGCCACAAAACGTGTGAGGGGTGTGCCAAATTGGGCTTGGGGAACTTATGCGGGCGGTCCCACTGGGGGCTTCGGTGGAGCTCCCTATGGGGCCACGAAACGTGAGAGGGGTGCCAAATTGGGTTTTTGGGGCGCATGCGGGCGGTCCCACGGGGACCTTCGGTGGAGCTCCATATGGGGCCACGAAACGTCGCACTGGGTGGGTGAAACGCAGGGAGGAGGGGGGAGGGGGAGGAGGGAGGAGAGGAGGGATGAGGAACGCGGGGACCGTCTCTTCAAAACGAGGACCCAACACCACAGGATGGTTGGGAACAACACAATGCGAGGCCAACCCGACATAGAGAACGAACAAAAACAAGACGTCGAGGATCGAGAAGGGAGGATCGAGAAGGTTTTGGGGCGCCTCTGGAAGTCCTTGGGGGCTCCACAGGGGCCCACGTCCTGAAGGAGACGGCGGCCCCCTCCGTGCTTCGCAGAATAACTGGCCTGACGAAGGACCCAACCATGTGCAATTGTAGGCATCGTCGCTGTATGCACCGCCTTCGGTGGAGCCCCCTAGGGGGCCACGGAACGTGTGGGGGATAAGTCAGAACGCCAGAGTTTGCAGGATCCTGCAGGGCCAGGGTCGCACTGACCCGGGTTTGGGTGCAGGATCTTGCAGGATCTTGCAAGATCCTGCAACGCTTGACTGACCCAGGTCTGAATTGACCCGGGTCAGCAGATCCCCGACCAGCGCCGATGCAAGAAACCCGGGCGGGTTTCCGAAGTTTGCGTTTGTGCTGCGTTTATGGTGGCATTTCCTCCTCCTCCTCCTCCTCATCCTCCTCCTCTGCCTCATTCGAGCTTCGAGCTTCGAACTCCGGACGGTTCTCCCGATGATGGGCCGTGCATTCGACGAACTTCGCCCTCGCCGGTGCCAAAGCTACCCACCTTTGGCTCCCCGAGCGCCGCCGACGTCGGGCATGGTGACCCTGCAGTCAACGCGCATAGTATAGTAAGGGTGAGCGACTTTTCAAGGTTGCCCTCGCATCATTCCCCTTCTCAGAAGCTGAGCGAAGGCTGGCAAACCCGTGGCTGCTAAAACAGAGCTCTGGGAAACTGGTTTTCCCTTCCAGGAGGCAGCCCGTTTACCATTTAGTGCGTTGAGCTTGATTCCGGGAATTTGTTTTTTTCTTCTGGGAAGACGTGTTAGCAGATCTTCAGCCCATCTTTGGCCACATTCGCTGGCTGCGCCCCGCTCGAAAGGTGTCAACATGGCCTTCAAAGGCCCACGCATCCTCACCACGTATCTTCACTATGCGCTCTGACACTGATTGGTGTTACCGGCAAGAGCAAATTGATCGTCGTCAAGAGCAAACTTGAGATCCGTGCGTCTTGCGAAAGGGGGTCGTAAGAATTGTCATTGACGGGTTAAGTGCGGCCGAGTGTATTGGGATTTTGCCTTGGAAACAATGTTGCCCCGCCCCCCCCCCACCACCGGGTCGTGGGGATTGCTATTGACAGATTAAGCGCGGCTGAGCGTATTGGGATCTTTCCTTGGAATCAACGTTGCCCCCAACCCCCACCGACCTCCAAGGCATGGAGACCCTACAGTCGCGGCGCTAACGAAGGAACATTTCTTGTTTGTGAGCGGCTCAGTGTTCCTTAGTCGTTGTGCAGTTTGCCTTCGGTTTTCCTTCGGTTTTTGATGTGAAATCGAACTTGAACTTATGGAGAAGAAAGCCTCGTTCCTTTGATCAACGCCCCGACTGTACTTGGCATTCCCCGAGGGCGGGGGGCGGGGCGTTGCGAGCGCGCGCTTGCGCTCGTCCCCAGCTCTGCCTTCTGGGCCTCTCGCGGCGCTGCAGGCGCCCCCACCGCAGGCAGCAGCGACGGGACGGCGGCGCCGATCTCGGAGGGCGGGGAGGGCTCTTGGAGAGAGACCGCCTCCTCCTCCTCTTCCTCCTCCTCCGCCTCCTCCTCCTCCTCCGCCTCCTCCTTCCAATCTTTCCTCGTCCGCCTCCTCCCCCTCCCCCTCCTCCTCCTCCTCCCCCTCCTCCTTCTCCCCATCATGCCTCCTCCCCGTCCTCCTCAACTTCCCCCCCCACCTTTTACCCCTCCCCCTCCTGTCCTGCTCTCTGGCGGCCTGTCCTCACCCCTCCAGTTGGGCGTGCGCCTCGCCGCCCGACTGGCACGGACCGCGGACACGGGTGCGAGCTCGCTGCGGGGGGGGAAGCAATTCCTCCCTCTCTTTTTCCTCCTCCTCCTTTTCCTCCTTTTCCTCCTTTTCCTCCTTTTCTCCTCCTCCTCCCCCTCCTCCTCGTTTTTCTCGCTCGTCGTCCTCCTCCACTAATTGCTTTGGCCCTAGACACTGTTTCGCGCAAGCAGGACATGGATCCTGCTGGCCCGCGGCTAGCTCAACGATGTGTCCGATCCCTCGTGCATCACATTGCGACGAACCTTCAGTTGGCGTCGGAAGCTGTTCCAGCATTTCCGTTTCGGCATCTTCCGTTCGTGTCGGCGATTTTGTGTTGGTGCCGGCACGGTGCGACGAACTTTCCGTTCGTGCCCGACGTGTCCATTTCGGCCCTGGTCCGCCCCCGGAGCCAATCCACTGAGTGGGTCCCGCGGCGCCGCTTCCCCCAAGAGGTGGGCCCGAAGGCCAGTGCGTGGTGGCAGCGAGAGCGGAGCAGCCCATACTTGGGCATCGAGAGTTGCATGTCCTTGTGGCAGACCGGCACCGCTGCGAGTACAGTGTCGAGCGAAGGAGCACGTGGCCGAGGGGCGCCTGGATCGTCCCGAACGACCGCTGGGGACCCGAAACACTGACCCGAAAACCAAACGACGAGGAACACTCGGGTCGGACAGAAGCGTGCTGGAACGTGCACGTGCGCGCATGCAGCTGATCGTGCCACTCACATGCGTCACTGCGTGCAGTCGCTGTTGCTTGCTTCGCGGACGAAATAGGTTCCATCATCCCGTTCCGTCCTCCTTCCCCTCGTCCTCCTCTTCCTCCTCGTCCTGATTATCATCAGTATCATCATCAGCAGCATCATCAGTTTCAGCATCGGCATCACCATCACCATCATCATCATCATCATCATCATCATCATCATCACCATCACCATCACCATCACCATCATCATTTTCATCATCATCATCATCATCATCATCATCATCATCATCATTATCATTATCATTATCATCATCATCATCATCATCATCATCATCATCGTCATCGTCATCGTCATCATCATCACCATCATATCATCATCGCCATCATCATCGTCACCAGCATCACCACCATCAGCATCATCAGCATCACCATCATCATCAGCATCATCGTCATCAACATCATCACCGCCATCATCATCATCATCAACATCATCATAATCGTCATCAACATCATCATCATCATCATCGTCATCATCATCATCATCATCATCATCATCATCGCCATCTTCATCATCATCAGCAACACCATCATCTTTCTTTCGGGTATTGCTAGAAGTGCCCCTAGTCCAAGATGCCCCCAGGATTTCCAAGGAGCCCCCACTGCCTCCACAGCACCCCCCACGAGGACCAGAGGGCCTCAGGTGCTCCAAAGTAGAACCAAAAGCTGGCGGCACCCTGGGCCAGAGGCACCCCTAGCGACCCCCGATCCTCCTCCTCGTGCTCCCTCCCGCCCTCATTGCCTGCGTTTTGCCCGTAGTCGCTGTTGCTCGCTCCCTCTTCACCACCGCGCGGCGCTGCCTGGCTCGGGAGCGAAATGCGGCTGCGGGCGTGGCCAGGACTGCAGCACCAACTGCAGCAGCGGCGGTAGCGGCACTGGCAGCAGCCCCGGCGACTTGGACCGGGCCGCCATCCTGGGGGAGCCTGGCAGGACCGCCAGAGGAGCAGAACGAGCAAGAGGAGCACCAAGAATGGGCAGGAGCTGGAGGAAGTCGTGGCGGAGGAGCAGGAGTAGCAGGAGGAGCGGGGACAGGAACAGGGCATCGACCTGTTAGCGCTCGGATGCACGTCGACCGCTGCTGAGGCCAGGGTGACATACGGCCGCGGGTTCGTAAGCTTCAGCAGGGAGCGCCCATGTCCGTCAGCTGTGTGTTGAGTTTACAGGAGCCAGTGGAAGATGAGGTGGAGGAGGAGGAGGAGCAGGAAATGTTGGTCGAAGAGGGGGCGGAGGAGGAACAGCAGTGAGGGGGGATATCGGCAGCAACCAGGAGCAAGGCGAGGCGATCATGCCCGAATACTCTGGCAAGGCCGTCCACAACATTTCGGAGGCCTGCGCGGATTCCTTGGATCGGCGCCCCTCTCCTGACTTGCGGAGCGAGCCAGGGGCGGCTCGGGAGGCGCCGCGAGGGAGGCCTAGCGCCGATCCCAGAAATCCGCACGGACCTCCGCAAGATAATTTTCATGTGGTCAAATGTTTTCCACACAGTCAAATCGGATCACCAGGGTGAGTATTTGTTCGGTGGTGCCCTTGCGTTCTATCCTCTCGGCCCATCCTAATCCTCAGCCGTTGGCCAGCGGTTTCCAACTTCAGTCTTGATTTGGGCGTCCAAGATGCCTGCATCTATTCTACGGCAGTTTCATGCGGCGATGGCGCGCTGGCGACGCCGGCGAAGGCGTTCAAGGTTGACCTCCGCATGACAGAACGACGCAGAAATACCGAGTGGCACGGTAGCGCCACAGGACCCGACGGAATTCAACCTTGAATGATCGGGGCCGCGATCGGTCCAGGGTTGAACGATCGACGTGGTGTCAAAAACCTTGGCGCGCGCTGGCCCCGCACGCAATTACCGTGCCGCTGCACTGTGCGTGTCCCGCACTCGTGGTCCTGTCGCGCGGCAAATGCTTGTCTTGCTCTTCCCAGCACTCGCCCTCCCCACACCCCCGCTTCGCTCGCCCTTCCCTCCCACCCCTCGACCCTGCTCCCCCCCCCTCTCGCTCCTCCTCCTCCGAGGGCGAGGAGGGGAAGGGAGGATCGAGGCTCGAGGACGAGGAAGATGCACACAGAGGGGCGCCAGGAATCCTGATACAGTCCGAGCGCATAGTCAGGATGAGCAGTTGTCCGAGGTTGCCCTTGCATCCTTCCCCTTCGGCCCGTCCTGGGCAGTTTTCGCCGGCCGAGCCGCCGAGCCCCGCTCGAAAAGTGTCAACGTGGCCTTCCGAGGCCCTTGCGTCCTTGCCGTGCATCCTTGTCATACGCGCTTGCTGTACACATGACGCGGCCAGGTCAGGTCAGGCGAGAGCCTCTTCTATCATCAGCCGCGCACGCCGGGTCGCCTTGTGTGCCTCTGGTGCGCGGCATCCGGGTGTTTCACGCAAGTCCAGCCCATGTGTGATTCCAGCCTCCTGGCGTGATTTTCCCGTGGAGGTTCGGGAAGTGTTGTTTGCTCCCCGCGTTTTTTTCCAGGCTCCACGTGAACTGCGCAGCCCGAGGAGGAGGAGGATGAGGAGGAGACGGAGGAGGAGCAGGAGGAGGAG